AACACCAAGGCAGCAAGTTTTGGGGTCTCCAGCTGCAGTGGGTGGCCGCTGATTGCTTCTCTCTGTCCAGACTAATGAGAACATGGAGATCACCAGCGCACTGCAGTCGGAGCAGCACGTCAAGAGGGAGCTGGGAAAGAAGCTGGGTGAGCTGCAGGAGAAGCTGAGCGAGCTGAAGGAAACGGTAACCCTACCCCATCCAAGAAGTGCTGGGAGGCGGGCACTAGCCTCTGGGGAGGGGTGGTGTGAGGCCAGAGGCAGCTCCAGCCTGGGGAACAGGTGACCCCAGCACCCTCCGGGGCAGTCCTGTGACTGTTTCTTGCTCCCTGCCGTCTGACTTTTAGAGGTGGATAGCCCTGGGTTCCTCTCAGATCTGGACATCATCGTCCCAGCTAGAGGCATGGATTTCCCCCAATCATAGGGAAAGAGACAGTGGTATAAGAGGCTCCTTAGATTCAAACAGGATTCTGGCCTCTGCTCCACTGGTCACCATTCAGCTACTCTGCATCTCTAAGCCTCAGTTTCTTTACCTTAAAAAGGAAGTTAGTATCTTCCTTGCAGAGGTGTAGAGGATTAAATGAGATAATACACGGAAAGCATTAGGCATGTAGCACACTTAGCAGATGGTAGTTGGCTCCCTCTGCATTTCCACCAGTCTATGGCCTACAGTTTAAGTGGTGGGAAGCAGCATGTGAGATTTGAGGCTGGGAAAGAAGGCAGTGGGCTCTAGGCAATGGAGGCAGTCACTTAGGCCTGGAGCAAGGGGCCAGAGGTCTGGGCAGGCAACAGAGCCTCACAGAGCCCTCGCTACCCTATTTATGGGCCCCAAATCTGAAAGCAGTACACCACCTGCCCTCACGCCTAGGGTCTTCCTACAGGTGGAGCTGAAGAGCCAAGAGGCTCAGAGTCTACAGCAGCAGCGAGACCAGTACCTGGGACACCTGCAGCAGTATGTGGCCGCCTATCAGCAGCAGGTGGCCACCTATCAGCAGCTAACCTCTGAGAAGGAGGTGCTGCACAACCAGTTACTGCTGCAGACCCAGCTCGTGGACCAGCTGCAGCAGCAGGAAGCTCAGGGCAAAGCGGTAGCCGAGATGGCCTGCCAAGAGTTGCAGGAAGCCCAGGTGAGGGAGTTGCTGAGGGCAGGGCCCCGAGGGGGATGACCTGGCAACCTCCATGCCGTCTCACTCTCTTTCTTGGCCCCTTAGGAGCGCCTGGAATCTGTCACCCAGCAGAACCAGCAGCTACGGTCCCAATTGAGCCTCATGGCTCATCCTGGGGAAGGTACGGGAACCTGCTCACAGGAAGAGGAGAGAGCCCCAGGAGGAAGGGGGGACTGTTAGCAGTGTGGAATTGAGTTGGAAGAGACCTTTAGAACAGCTGGTCATTATGCCAACTGGGTGTCCACACTAAGTTCGGCATCATTATGGTGACTTCCTGGGAGCAGGGGACTAGCAGGTTGCCTAAGGATGGGTGAACTGGCCCAGGTCAGAAATGAAGCAGGTCAGAACTCCCATGCTGATCGGTAGTGGGACTGCACCTGGGCAGCATAGCGAGCTCTTGGCTCTTAAAAAAGAATAAAATAAAAAGCTGCTCATTCCCTTCTGGGGAGGGGCTGGCCCAGGGTTACACAGTGAGGGTGGGGGCAGAGGTGGGCACACTGTACCCTTGTTGGGTTGTCTGATGACCCCTCTGGCCACCCCCACAGGAGATGGACTGGACAGGGAGGAGGAGGAAGAAGAGGAGGAGGAGGTGGAGGCGGCGCCTCGGCCCATGCCAAGCATCCCGGAGGACCTGGAGAGCCGGGAAGCCATGGTAAGGCTGACTCCCCTCCCTGGCCTTTGCTGTCTCCCTCTGTGGTCCCTCCCAGACCCCCTTCTGCTCTTGGTTTCCCGGCCTTCTGATTTCTTCAGACTCACCGCTTTCCTGGGAGCCAGTGGTCAGACACCCATTTCACCTGGGACCAACAAGTGCAGCCTCTGAGGCTCCAAGGGAAGGGCTGCTCTCTACCTCCCTGCCTGTTTGTCCTATATATCCTCCTACAAGAACGCACCTCTCTTGCCTGCAGGTGGCATTTTTCAACTCAGCTGTAGCCAGTGCCGAGGAGGAGCAGGCAAGGCTACGTGGGCAGCTGAAGGAGCAAAGGGTGCGCTGCCGGCGCCTGGCTCACCTGCTGGCCTTGGCTCAGAAGGAGCCTGAGGTGGCAGCCCCGGCCCCAGGGACTGGGGGCGATTCTGTGTGTGGGGAAACCCACCGGGCCCTGCAGGGGGCCATGGAGAAGCTGCAGGTGAATGAGTCTCTCCTGGCATGGGTCAAGAAGGGTGGGGGCGGGGCAGGTCGCTGCCAAGATGTGACTCCATTGTTTTGGTTCCAGAGCCGCTTTATGGAGCTCATGCAGGAGAAGGCGGACCTGAAGGAGAGGGTAGAGGAACTGGAACATCGCTGTATCCAGCTGTCTGGAGAGACAGACACCATTGGTGAGTGGGAGGCCAGGGCACGGCAGGAGGAGCTGCACAGTGGTCGGAGGGAACCCAGTATCTGAGCCCTGTCCTTCCGCAGGAGAGTACATCGCACTGTACCAGAGTCAGAGGGCAGTGCTGAAGGAGCGGCACCGGGAGAAGGAGGAGTATATCAGCAGGCTGGCCCAAGACAAGGAGGAGATGAAGGTAGGGCGTGGAACATCTCTGTGGGGGTGGAGGTGGGCACGGGCACAGGCATGGCAGCTTAGCACCCCTCCCTCCAGGTGAAGCTGCTGGAGTTGCAGGAGCTGGTCTTACGGCTTGTGGGCGACCGCAGCGAGTGGCATGGCAGATTCCTGGCAGCTGCCCAGAACCCTGCCCATGAGCCCGCTCCAGGGGCCCCAGCCCCCCAGGAGCTTGGGGCTGCCGACCAGCAGGGTGGTGAGTAGAGCCCTCGGGAGGGGTGGGCAGGCAGGAGCAAGGGAGGGCTTGCGTGGCGCTCAGAGCCCTGCCTCTCTCTCTCCAAAGATCTTTGCGAGGTGAGCCTCACCGGCAGCGCGGAGGCCGCCCAAGGAGAGGCCAGGGAGGGCTCTCCCCGTGACAACCCCACTGCACAGCAGATCATGCAGCTGCTTCGTGAGATGCAGAACCCCCGGGAGCGCCCAGGCTTGGGCAGCAACCCCTGCATTCCTTTTTTTTACCGGGCTGACGAGAACGATGAGGTGAAGATCACTGTCATCTAAAAGCCGGCCGCTGTCAGCAAAGCCTGAAGAAGGGGGGCTGGAGACCCTGCCCCCACTATATCCCTACCACCCCCTCAGTCACCCCTTTACCCTTCCAGTAGCAAGCATAGACCCCTGTCTAACGGGGGTAGACAGGTGCAGATGAGGTGAAGATCACTGTCATCTAAAAGCTGGCCACTAAACTTAAAAAAAAATTAAAGTTATGGGATTAAAAGAAGTTATGGGATAAAGAAGGTTATGGGTAAGTTATGGTATAGAAGTTATAAAAAAAGGCCGGGCGTAGTGGCTCACACCTGTAATCCCAGCACTTTGGGAGTTCAGGAGGTCAGGAGTTCAGGACCAGCCTGGTCAACATGGTGAAACCGTGTCTCTACTAAAAATACAAAAATTAGCCAGGCATGGTGGCGTGTGCCTGTAATCCCAGCTACTCAGGAGGCTGAGGCAGGAGAGTCACTTGAACCCGGGAGGCGGAGGTTGCAGTGAGCTGAGATGGCGCCATTGCGCTCCAGCCTGGGCGACAGAGTGAGACTCTGTCTCAAAAAAAAAAAAAACAAAAAACACGGGATTAAAAAAAAAGTCAGGATAAAAATTTTAAAAAGCAGGCCACTGTCAGCAAAGCCTGGAGAAGTGGGGCCGGAGGCTCCGCCCCCATCATGTCCCTGCCACCCCTTCCCAGTCACCCCTTTACTCTTACAGTAGCAAATAAGACCCCTGTCTAATGGGGGGAGACAAATGTGTAGAGCCTTTGCCACCTTGGCCAGGGCTGATTCCTTAAATTTCTGGATGATGATGATTGTTATTTAATAGCCAGAGGCTCATAGAATTGACTTGTTTGGAGGAGGCCTGATGGCCTCCTTACTCTCACCAAAGCAATTTTTCCCTCAGGGGGGCTCCCATCTTCTTACACAGAGAGGCAGCTGAGGCAGGACAGTGGGGTTAACTGTAGACCAGGTGAGGGCACGGGCTGCTGGGGTGGCCCCGCTTCCCCAGTGTACATATTGTATCTGTGTAACATTTTGTATATTCCAGGGGTAGGGCAGCCCCCTGTATCATACCTAGCAGAGGTTGGAGCTGGCACATGGGGAGGAGGTTCTAATAATTATTTGGGGCTGGGAAACTTATTTATTGATAGCATAGGTCAGAGGAAGGAGGCGGGGATGGGGTCGTGGCACCCTGGTGATGCAACTCCTGTTTATTTTGCTTTTTATTTCGGAATAAATGGATTTAGCCATACTGCTCCGCCTGGCGTGTTCCTGTTTCTCTCACTGGGTTCTGGAGTTTGTGCCACTGAACGGGGAGCCCCAGAGTGTCTGAGCCTGCGCATGTGGGCTGTTGGGACCTTCCAGGCCTGTTACCGGTATGCTGCCTGGTGACATCTAGGGGATTACACAGGGACTACCATGGTACCTATGGGGACAGTTCGGCCCCGACGGCCAACAGGCTCAGAAGCCTGATCTAGCGGTGGCCGGGAAGGCAGGGTGCCAGCACCCAAGGTGTCTTCTGTTCTGCCCTCCTGCCTCCCTCGCCTGCCTGAGCCTGGTGGCCTGTTCTGTCTGTCCCTCCCCAGAATGCTGGCCACCCCGCAGGCTCCCTCTAGACTGAGTTAATGGCCCTGCCCCCTAGTGGCCAGAGCCGGCTTCACAGGATGAGAGCCAACTAAGCTCCAGGGACTTTCCAGGAAAAGTGTCCCTTGGAAAGGATGTAGTCTTTTTACCGCCCCCAACAGCACCCTAGTAATGGCTTAGCCCTTCCCCTCCCCTGAGCTCCAGAGAGAACACAACCAGCAGAGGAGACATTCCCCGTCATCCAGAAATAGGTTTTATTCTCAGCCGAGGGACAGCAGGACTGGTAGACTGTCAGGCCACACGGCTGCCTGCACAGCACCCCCATGCTTGGTAGGGGGCGGGAGGTATGGCGGGGGCTGGCTGTCCACAGGCTGGGCATGACAGGGAGGCTCACTGGAGGTGGCACACTTTAGAGGGGGATGTCAGGGGACAGCGTTCTCTTGTAGTTGGGCCACAAGACTCCACAAGGACAGCACAGTGACTGATTCCCAGCGCTAGAGGCGAGGCGGTCGGCCATGTGTAGGTGTGTATATATATGAGTATTTATAGATATTTATAGAACAGGGCAAGGGCATACCACTGAAGGGGCACAAGTTTTCACCAATGGTCACGCCTGGAGGTGTCAGCTCACCACTACAACAGACTAAGTCACAGATGAAGGGGGCTGGCTTTGGGGCTAGGGAAGCCACTGTCAAGTCACAGAACAGCCGTCCAGGCAGGCTTGGAAAGGGAGGTCTCCGAGAAGAGGAGGGATCTGTTTAGAGGTCGAAGGGGGGCCTGGGGCTCTCAGGACGGGATGGACTTGCCTGACCCGATCGGCTGGCAGTTGGAGAGAAAGCAAAGAGAAAACGGGAGAGAGAAAATCGAGGAGAGAGCTGGTAAGGCAAGTGCAGCACACAGCCGGCTGGGGCGGGCCGCACCGCAGCAGGTGGGAGGGCCGGGGAGGGGAGGGTGCAGGTGTGGGTGTGGCAAGGTTCCTGGAAAAGAGGGGCTGGAAGGAAAAGGGGAGGAAGATGGAGGGAGGAGCTGTAGCTTCACAGGTATCGCCTGGGGGCTGTGGCGGCCCTCCCCACCCCACACACGCTGGCCTCTCACACAGCACCCAGGCAGGGCACCCACAGTTCAAGCTGATGCTCGGCCCCCTTGGGCTTCCCTCTTCTCTGGTCACCCTGTCTTCCAACCCACCGGCCCAGGGCCACCCCTTGCCTTGGGGAGCCCCACGCAACAGCCACCAGGCCTGACAGAGAAAGAACACTGCTTGAACCAGGAGGGTGAAACTAAAAGGGATGGCTGGAGGGAGCGCCAGAGGCCCTTCTGGGTGGTCAGAAAACCCAGGACCCTCTGAAATGACCCTGGGGGAGGCAGGGAGGGCAGACAGCCGGATGCCAGTGGCCATAGACTTATAAGTCTAAGAGGGGAGCCTCAGCTGGTCGGGGGGCTGCAGGTCGCGTAGGTGAGGCTGGGCCCTTCCTGCTGGGAAAAGCAGAAGAGCGAGAGTCAGTGGCCGGAGAAGGGGGGCGGGCTCACTGGGTAGAGCTCAGCAGGACCAGCAGGCACGGTCATCCCCTTGGCTGAATGGCACAAGTAACCCTAGGAGCAACAGGCCAAGGTGCATGAGCCCGCTGGCTGGCTACGGTGCTTCAACTGGGGCCAGGGACACTGCCTTCAGTCACACGCTAGCAGCTATGATGGTACCTGGGAGGGAGGGAAGGGGGCTGTGTGTCCCTGCCTGGCCTGTGAGGTGTGTTGTGGGATGACCGTGTGTATGGGACTCTCAAGCTTTTACCCTAGATCACCACTGGATTGCCAGCAGATAGAGGAGGTGGTACCCTATCACCCCTGCTCTGCAGTGGAGTTGGCTCTCAGCGCTGCCAGGCTGGGAGCTGGATGCCTTACCCCAGGAGCATGACTCTGACTGCACACCAGGCACGGTGTGCCCAGGATGACATTCCTAGGCCTCTGGCCGCCTCACAGTCCAGCCCCACACACAACCCCCTCCAAGTTCCCAGCCTTTACACAATAAACCACGAGCTCTCTGCCCTCTCTGATGGCTCCAGAGAGCACCCATGTCTGCCAGCTTGGGCACGGAGCCTGTTCCAAGAGTCCCCAGGCTCAGCCATGGAGGCCTTGGGCAGCGGCACTGAGTCCCGAGGCTCGCTGGGAAGGGAGGTGAGAGAGCCAGCGGCACAAGGACAGAAAGAGGAAAGAGCAAGTGTACAGCTGCAGAAGGGAGGGGCGGGGAGCCTGGCTCTGAGGTCCCAGGTGCGTGCCCCGTGTGGAGCTAGTGCAGCGGGGCAGACACACCGTTCATGCAGCAGGCAGTGAGGCAATACCTACCATGGCTGACGCTCCTCAGGGGTCACTGATAGTGATTCTGAAAGACAGCACGAAATCAACATGGCAGTTCACACGCACGGGTGGGACAGGCCTGGGGGTGGGGGACACACACACGCACACGCCCGGGCGTGCACACACATGCTGTGAGGCCCCATGGCCCACATGCACACGCTAACACACATGCCCACAAACAACACGCATACGCCTCCTTCCCTGCCACCTCCCGGTGCCCAGCACCCTCACTGGCCGGCGGCACGTGCAGCACGGATCTGGGGCATGCAGCCACTCAGCACACTGAAGCACACGTGTGGGCAGAGTCACAACACAGAAGCTCACCCGCACACAGAGGTATTTGCACCAGCTCCCTGCACACTCGTGCCTGGCGTGCTCAGAGGACCACCCGTGCTGCTCATGGAGACAGGACTAGCTCGCTAATGTCCAGCTGTCATTTCTCCACCTAAGAGCCTTCTGTGGTTCCCTCCTGCCTACAGCATTGAGCCCCCCAACAAGTCAAACTCTTCGGACTTTGAAGGTTCTCCATCCTATGCCCCACCCTCCCCACAGAGCTCTTCCTCATTCTGTCTGTGTTCTCTGCTTTGGCCAGTGGCTGTCCTCGATGCAGCCCACACTACACCTCTGCCCACACTGCAGCTCTTTACCCAGATACCCTCCTTGCCACATAAGCCTATCTCAGCCATGCCTCAGACCGCACTGAAGTCAGGTTGCCTTGAAGAAGCTCTCCCAGACTGCTCTTTTCCCCAAGGTAGCGTCATGATTTGCCAAAAGTTTCTTTTTTTTTTTTTTTTTTTGAGACGGAGTCTCGCTCTGTCGCCTAGGCTGGAGTGCAGTGGCGCGATCTCGGCTCACTGCAAGCTCCGCCTCCCGGGTTCACGCCATTCTCCTGCCTCAGCCTCCCGAGTAGCTGGGACTACAGGCGCCCACAACCGCGCCCGGCTAATTTGTTGTATTTTTAGTAGAGACGGGGTTTCACCGTGGTCTCGATCTCCTGACCTTGTGATCCGCCCGCCTCGGCCTCCCAAAGTGCTGGGATTACAGGCGTGAGCCACCGCGCCCGGCCAAAAGTTTCATGTGTGTTAGCAAGACTGGAGTCAGGCTGGCATCAAACCTTACGTCACATATCTCACACCGCACCATAGACCTGGGTGCCAAATCTGAACTCACGTTGGCAGTTAGCAAAGTGCTCCTACGGCTGCATCTGCAGTTAACACAGCATCCCTATAGCCATTGTCTCCCTCGATCCCCACAGCCACCCTGGGAGAAAGGCAGAATGTCATCATTTGGTAGAAGGGATGCTGAAGCTCTGGGAGGGAAAGAGACATGTCTAAAGGCGCAGGGTAAAGCAGCATCTCTGGACTCCCAGTCCAGTCCTCTTGCCCAATACCATGCTGCTTGCCTCTACCCATCTGCTTTGGTCATCAGAGCATAACAGGGCAAGCCCCAATCCCTGCCTCATTTTGGTTTATGGGCGCTAGACCCACAGCCCTACCCTCCAGCCATGCAGAAACAAAACAGATGCTATTGTCCTGCAGTGTTCTTCCTTAGAGAATGTGGCCAGTGGAAACAGGGCAGACTGGGAATTGGAGTGAACTTCCTTGAAAGAGGGTCATGGGTCAAGAAAGTCAAGCCAAAGGATGCAGTAGAAAGCTTTTCCTTAGAAATCTTTGGGAATGAAGCAGGCTTCAGCCACTCCCATCCCTGCCCCTGCCGCCACCCCTACCACATTGGTTTAGACTGGGTAGGGCCAGAAGCGGGGGGTGGGGGTGGGGAGGAAAAAAACCATCAGATTGCCCAAGGCCCCAGGCTCCTTCCCCAGCTGCTCCTGTCCTAGCCCGGGCCTGGGTGCCATTCTTACACTCTCACACTCGTGTGCACGCCCACACACACATCACACACCTCTCTAGTCACACAGTCACAGCCTGGCCTCTGCTCCTCTGGGCCAGTGGCTGGACACCCCCTGGGATGGCTCAAAGGAGTCAGGACTGGGAAATGGGGACATCAGGGTAGCTGAAGGAAATCCACACACCCAGAGCAGATAGGGGTTCAGACTCAGACCTAAGGTAGGCTCCGTAGGGGCTGGGAGAGGAATTGGACGGAATGGAGGATGGAGGACAGCAAGAAGAAAGGAGGAGGAATGCAACGTGTGGGCGGCCATCAAGAGTGAAAATAGAGGGAAGCGCCATGCAAGTGCTGGAAAGAAGGGGGCAGGTGGGACGAGCCCCACAGCCCCCTCCCCAGAAACGACCACCTCCGGGACTCAGCGCTCCCTCGGGGGCAGGCTCAGCCAGCCCTCGGCCACACGTGGCGTGGCTCCGGCACCCAGAGTCCGATTGCCTGGGATGGAAACGGCCGGTTCTGGCGGCCGGGTCCGATGCTCTGGAATCCAGCCCCATTTCCCTCCCGGCCACGCCCGTCCGGCAGCCTCTCCAGCCGCATTCAGCCCCTACTCACCTGGGGACCCCGGGCGGGGCGCGGTTGGGGCGCGAGGGCACCTGAGGGGGAGGGCCGAAAGGGTCAGGGGAAGCCCCCGGCCTGGAGGGCACGGGGGGCGCCCCCCCCAGGGCGGACCCAGCAGGCGGAGGCCCAGGAGCAGGGCCCCGCGACCCGGGCCGGGCTGGGGGCACGGCGGGGGCTCGGCGCTGCGGCGTGGGGCTGGACGTGGGCGACCTGAGGGCGACAGGCAGCGAGAAACAAGGAGAGGCGAGATGAGCGGCTCCGCCCACACTGAGGCCCCGCCCCAGCCCAGTGCTTGCCACGCCCATGCACGCAAAGCCCCTCCCTGCCGTGCCCCGAGGCGGTCGCCGGAGCTTAAGCCCCGCCCCCAGCGGCGCCAACGTCCCAGCTCCACCCCGCCTCGCAGCCAGCTCTCCACGGCAAGCCCCGCCCCGCGGCAAGCCCCGCCCTCTCTAAGCTCCGCCCCTCGCTCCAGGTGGGAGCCGCCCGGTGACGCGGGCGCGCCACTGCCCGGTCCCGGCACTCCTCCCGTGGGCCCCGGGCTGGGGGGCTTTGGGGCCGTGGGGGCCGGCCCTGGTACCTGCGTCCGGCCGGTACGCTCTGCACCTGCAGCCAGGAGTCGTCCACGGGCGGGGGCATGGGCGTGCTGACGGTGGTCGTATTGATGTCGCCGATGATGCTGAGCGCCTCCTTCAGAGCGTGGTACATGCGCAGCATCTCGTCGCGCCGCTGTGCCTGCTCCGCCGACTCCTCCATCAGCGTGTTCTGGTCCCCACACGAGTACAGGTTGGCCAGCAGCTCCGAGAAGATGAACTCCTTGGTCTGCGAGTAGGCAAAGAGGGAAGGAGGTGGGGACTTGATGCCTGTGCCGCCCTGGCCGCCCCACCCGGCCGGCCCCCACGGCCCCCCACGGGACTGTGAGCTGGTATGGCTTTTCCCACGTGGCTCCTACACTGCATAGACTGGAAGATTCGCCTCCCCACCGCGCTTTTCTCGCTCAGATGAGGACACTGAGGTCTACAGGAAAAGTCACCTGACTAAGGTCACAGATCCGGGAGGGGACTTAGGACCTATCACGCCACCAGAACACTTGTCTACTCAGTTTTTGTTTTGATTTTCTTTGTTTTTGTTTTTTTTTTGAGATAGGGTCTCGCTCTGTCGCCAGGCTGGAGTACAGTGGCAAGATTACAACTCACTGTAGCCTCAACCTCCTGGGCTCAAAGTTATCTTCCAATGTCAGCCTCTCCAGTAGCTAGGACTACAGGCACGTGCTACCACCAACCCCAGCTTTTCTTTATATATATATATATATATATATATATATATATATTTTTTTTTTTTTTTTTTTTTTTTGAGAGGGAGTTTTGCTCTTGTTGCCCAGGCTGGAGTGCAATGGCACAATCTTGGCTCACCGCAACCTCCACCTCCCGGGTTCAAGCAATTCTCCTGCCTCAGCCTCCCGAGTAGCTGGGATTACAGGCATGCACCACCGCGACCGGCTAATTTTGTATTTTTAATAGAGACGGAGTTTCTCCATGTTGGTCAGGCTGGTCTCAAACTTCCAACCTCAGGTGATCCGCCCACCTTGGCCTCCCAAAGTGCTGGGATTACAGGCATGAGCCGCCGCACCCAGCCAACCCCAGCTATTCTTTAAAATTTCTGTGTAGAGACGAGGTCTCACTGTGTTGCCCAAGCTGGTCTTGAACTCCTGGGCTCAAGTGATCCTCCTGCCTTGGCCTCCCAAAGTGCTGGGATTACAGTTATGAGCCACCGTGCCCAGCCCCTCATTATATTTCTTTCTTTTCTCTTTTTTCTTTTTTCTTTTTTTTGAGATGGAATCTCGCTCTGTCGGCCAGGCTGGAGTACAGTGGCAGGATCTCAGCTCACTGCAACCTCCGCCCACTGCAACCTCCACCTCCCGGGTTCAAGTGATTCTCCTGTCTCAGCCTCCCAAGTAGCTGTGATTACAGGCTCACGCTACCACACCTAGCTAATTTTTCTATTTTTAGTAGAGACGGGGTTTCACCATGTTGGCCAGGCTGGTCTTGAACCCCTGACCTCAAGTGTTCCGCCTGCCTTGACCTCCCACAGTGCCGGGATTCCAGGTGTGAGCCACTGTGCTCAGACCCTCATTATATTTCTATCGGACAGCTCTGGTCTGGACCGTGCCTCCCTCCCTGGACCTGGTCCCACAGGGCTGGTTGGCATCTCCCCCAGGCCAACATGGCCACCTGCGTCCCCAGTGCCACAGGACTTCCCTGCCCCCATGCGGCGGAGCACGCACATTGTTAATCATGAGGTGCATGATGGTTTTGGGCATGAGGTCCCGCACGGTCTTGTTGACAATGGCCATGTACGAGTCCACAAGATTCCGGATGGTCTCCACTTGCCGTTCCAGCTGTGGGTCCATGGAATGCATGAAGCTGTCGGAGCCATTCTCCTCGGTCTCACTGGCCTGCCATGGAGAACACAAGGGCATCAGGGTGGCCAGGCCACGCAGCCAGGCTCCAGGCATCGCCAGGATCTCAGCCCCTCCAAAGGTACCCAGAACATTGAGGCACAGAGAGAAGCAACTGGCCTGAACACACACCAGGCTCTCCATCCCTGTGCCTCTCAGGACCCTAGACTCCCCTGATTCAGCCTTGTCTTGGTTCTGACTCTAGTGCCTAGAATTTGCCTCAATTTCCCAATCCAGAAATTATTATTATTATTATTTTGAGAGAGTCTTGCTCTGTCGCCCAGGCTGGAGGGCAGTGGTGCTGTCTTGGTTCATTGCATCCTCTGCCTCCCGGGTTCAAGCGATTGTCCTGCCTCAGCCTCCTGAGTAGCTGGGATTACAGGTGCGCACCACCATGCCTGGCTAACTTTTGTTATTTTTAGTAGAGATGGAGTTTCACCGTGTTGCCAGGCTGGTCTCGAACTCCTGACCTCATGATCGGCCCACCTCGGCCTCCCAAAGTGTTGGGTTTACAGGCGCGAGCCACTGCGCCTGGCCCCAATCCAGAAATTAGAAAAGAACATCTCCTGGTCCCTTGCTTGAAAACCTGGCTGGAGCTGGTGCCAGGCTGCAGATGCCTGACAGGAGGCAAGAGAAGGGCATACTCACTTTCTCTTTGTCCTGGGAGGCCCACACACCAACATTGTCACCACCGCCACCACCAGGGAGCACAGCCGAAGGAAACATACAGAGAGGAAAAGGGGAGAGATTGAGTGAACCTGGGGACACTGCACCCCAACTCTCAGGCTACTCTAGACATTGCCACAGTGAAATAGGGGAGGAAAGAGAAGGCAGTCACAAGAAACCACCATCATAGAAAGGGGAATATAGAAATGCCATCTGCAACAGAGACAGAGACATGAAACTGCCACTGGAGAAGGATGGGAGGACCAGGAGACTTATCTCTGTTCCCACCCCCAGAGTGGGTAGGGGGAAGGATTCCTATTATTTCTGAGCCAAATAAGGGCTCGGAAACATGACGTGACTTGGCATCACTGAGGATGGTGCCCCAGGGGCCTTAGGATCATGCTTGCCCCTCCTCTCCTTGCCCTGCCACTCACCCCAACACGCTCAGGGTATACGCCAGCCCTCAGGAAGGAGGCCTTCCAGCTGTCCACCTCCTCCTGTGTCTCACAGGCCAGCTCCAGCTGCCGATAATCCTTATAGACATTCCTGCAAGACAGGGCGGATGGTGAGGGCAGATGGGCAAAGCCCCACCCTCCCTGGGGGTTAAGGGCATGCCCAGACTTTGGGGTCACCATGCCTGAGGCCAGCTCATTTCCCAGCTGTGTGACCTGTGCAAGTCCCTTCCTCTCTCTCAGCCTCAGTTTCCTCATTGGGAAGATGGGTTAATAAGAATTCCTGCCGCCTCTGGTCACTGAGGATTCAGTGAAGTGAGTGGCAAAATGCTTAGAAGGGGACTGGACCTTTGATAAGGGGACAACCATACTCAGTGAAGTCTCTAGCTTGGGGCCCAGACCCCACCAGCTTCCTCTGTGGCTCTCTGAGGACCCCTCTGATGGCAGCTGGACTGAACCCTCATCTCTGAGTAGCAGAGGGCCCGCTAGAGTCAGCCTTGGCTCAGGAAGGAAGAGGCCTGGTACTGCCACCACCCTATAGGAAAGTGAGCAGGAGAAGAGGACCAGGCCTGACTAGGGCCCTTTGGCTCCAGTGCCTGGCAGAGTATAGTGCACGAAGAGCATGCACTATACCAGTGACAATGGAAGGGAGGAAGGGATAGAGGGAGGGAGGGAAGGGGAGACTGGAAGGGAGGAAGGGAGGGAGGGAGGAAGGAGGGAAGAAAAAAGGGAGGGAGGAAAGGAGGGAGGATGGAAGGAAGGAAGGGAGGAAGGAAAGGAGGGAGGGAAGGAGGAGGGAAGGGAAGGGGAGGGGATGGGAGATCTTGACATGATGTCTAGCTCAGAGCAGGAACTCAGTAAGCATCTGTCAGTGGATTGCTTGCTGTGGGGCCTGGGGCAGGTTCCTCTCCTCCCTGGATCCCTGTACCCAGCTTCTACTCAGCGCGGGTGGTTTTGGGGCTGCAGCAGCTACAGCCAGGGGCAGGCAGGCACCTCTGTTCCGTGTTAAAGAGGGCAAAGATGTGCTTGCTCGACATGAAGCCCTTCTCCACGTCCCGCAGCTTGAGGTTGTCCACAGACAGCATGTATTTCTTCTCTTTCTCCTGTGGGTGGTGGTAGGAGCAATGAGTGAGGTTGGCACTGTTCTCTGCCACACCTCACTCCCTAAGAGTCCCCTTGACTGGCCCAGGGCTTCTAAGCATCAGCCCCCTCCCACTGTGAAGGTGCAGCTAGATAAAATCCTGGCCACAGGACCGTAGGCCTCCTGGGCACCACCGGCCCCCAGTGGCGTTCCAGCCGGTCCCACCAGCTCTGCATCTATGCCGGAGGTCAGGAGGCTGGTGAGGGGTGGGGAGGTGAGAGTGTGGGAGGCTCCCACAATCCCTCCCCAGGCAAGTCCTGGATACAAGCCAGGCCGGCCTCAGGCAGGGACCGCACACTCAGGCCTCTCTCGCCCCCGGCCTGGCCGCCTCTGACTTCATTTCCTGACTGCAGAGACCAGGAAGGGGGGCCACCAGCCCCGGCGGCTTCAAAGGGCTGGCTCAGCCCACTCCCCCAAGCTCCCCATGTGTTAGCAATAAGGCAGCCAGCACGAGCCTGGAGATGGTGTGCCTGTGTGTGCAACATGTGTGTAGTTGTGTGTTTGTGCCAACACATGCAAGCCCAAGTACATATTACCTATTGTGTGTGTGCACATGTGTATCTGGGGAGGTGCCCAGCATGAATCACGTGTCAGTGTGAGCGTGTCTGCATCTCAGTGTGGATGTGTGCACACTTTGTGGATGTGTGTGGCAATTGTGCAAGGCTACTACGTTTGCACAGCCATGCACAAGCTTATACCACACGCTTACACTGGGGTGCACATCTTACCTGCACACTGTGGTACAATGGGCTGTGTGTTTGGTTTATCTAGAACTGTCTAGGAGGAGTTATGTGTATCTGCGCACAGGCGTGTAGGGTGCTAGGCCCATGTGTATGCTTGGTGTGGGCACGTGTGTATGTAGGCTGCTGTGTCCCAGGAGAGGGGTTCAGGGATCTGGGGAGGAGACACCCCAGGATGGGGCTCTGGGAGAGGGGAGGGGTTTTTGTCACCCATGCCCTACTTGCTCACGGGGGTCGTCTGTGTGGGCCTCGGGGACTCAAAGAGCTTGGGCATGAGCCTTGCCTAGGGTCTCAGGTAGGGGGCTGGGTTTAGGGGGACCTTGCTCCCCTGTCTTGGCGTCATCCTGCCCACCCCTCTCTGCCCCCCACGCCCCCCTGGCCCATGCAGCCACATAAAGCCCTCTTTATGCCAGGCGGGTGGCCGGGAGCCCCAGAGGGCGGCCGGGGGAGGAGAGGAGGAAGTTGCACACACGGCCAGGGAACATCTGGAACCGTTCGAGAGAGGCCCCGCCGCCACCCGGCCTGCGCTTCGGGGTTGGACACTAGGTAGGAGCGGCCTCCTCCCCCCACCCCTCCCTTCCTGCCGGCCGGCCCCCTCCTCAGGCCCCTCCTTCTCAGCCCCAGCTCCCGCTCACCCCTGCCACGTCAAAGGAGGCAGAAGGGGAGTTGGGAGCAGAGAGGGGACCACGGGCTGGCTGGTCTGGGGCTGGGGGGACACAGGCTGGGGTTGGGGGGTTCTTGGATCTCCAGGGGATGGGGCTGAAGCGCCCACCGGATGGACAGACACTGCTGCCTGGATGGACCAGAGGACACCTCCACTCCGTCTACCCAGTGTTTAGACTATCTGTTCAGGACTCCCAAATTGTACAGTAGTCTGCACATTGGTTAGGCTGGGCTGGGTTAGACCCTCGGCGCCGCCGCCACTGGAGAGCTGGACCGACCCCTGCCTGCCATCCCAGAACCGGAGCCTGGAGCCAGGGCGTTGGGGCACAGGGTGGGCTGGGAGGAGGCACAGAGGGATGGGGTTGCCACCCTGCTGTGGGACTGGTGGGGGGTAGTGGTGATGGGGGAAGGGTGGCCGAGGAAGACTGAAAGGATGGGGGGGTCAATGGGGACTGGGGATGTGGGCAGCTGCCGGTCTGCCCAAAGAGCCTCCCTCACCCAAAAACCTGAGGGCTGGCGGCTGGGTAGAGAAGTACAGACCACTCTCCCACCAGCCTGGACCACCTCCACATCCCCAGTGGTCCTAGTGCAAAAATCCACTCACATTCAACATACACGCACCTTGATACAGCTCCAGAACTCACATACATGAGCACCCCCATACTTTCAATCTCACACCCATGTCCCAAACAGACACACACAAGTGCATGCACACACACCCATACACACCCTCACGACTGGAACACTCCCCCCATTCTCACATCCCAAAGACATACACAGATTCTCAAACACCCCATACTCACACCGTCCCTCCGGAGCCCCCTCCCCACACACACCTGCATTTACATCCCAAGTACAGGCACGTGCCCAGAGTCACTCCGCAGGTACACAGATTTCACCCCCAGATGCAAATGCAGACCACATATTCCAAACACACCTAGATGCTTATACCCCAGTCACACTCCTAAAAAACACCCACACACCAGACCCACAAGCCCCCCCCCACACACACACACCCTGCCTCCCAGCACCCACAGCCCACAGCCCACTGCCACCTCCCCACATACGATTCTCAGAGCTGTTTTCGAATACGACTTAACTCAGATGTACACAAAATCTCCAGAAAGACCTACAGGCTCAGGCACAAGGACAGGGGACCCCCTCAGTGGCATGCGCCCCTCCCCCACAGTATCGCCAGGTCTCAGGCCCTCAGCCCCAGCTCACATGGTCTCCCTGGCCCTGTGTAAGGAGCCTCAACATGGGAGACCCCAAACCCATGGGGGCATCTAGGCAGCCTGCAGAGTGACCGGCAGGAAGCCGCCCCCTACCCGCACCCCACGCCACCGCACACTCCATCCCTTCCAGGGGCTCCCATGCTGGGGGAGGCCAGGGTTGGGGTAATGAGGTCCAGATGGCTTGGCGCCCCCGCCAGTGACGACAGAGGGCCCCTCCCAAGGTGGAGAGTTGGGGCCCCTGCCCAGGACAAACTTGGAGGAGACAGGGACCTGGGAGGGGGCTTGGAGGCCAAAATCACAGGCCCCACCCAGAGCCCCGCTCCCCCATTGAGGGTGCTGTAGCCTCCAACAGCCCCTCAGGAAGAAGAGGGTCCCTTCCCCCACTCCTTGGCCAGCTGGAGTTCATTACCACAAGCCCACCCCCAGCCCTCCCCATTCTCTCTGGTCACCTCTGGAATCCAGATGTGAAAGCCAAATAGACTCATTCTTAAAGGAGACCAGCAACAGGGGAAGGAGGTGGCAGGGGCTTCTGTGCACCCTAGTGGGCGGGGAGGGTTTTTTTGTGGCAACTCGGCAGGGCCCCCACACTCCTTGCCCCTCAGCCTGGGGGCACTCTGCACATTTCCCTTGGACTGCAGGGGTCTAGGGGACTGGGGTGCAGGGGTTAACCGGGTGTCTGGCAGCTGGACTCGTGTGTGTCATGGGCCTGTGGGGGCCACAGAGGAGGCGGCACGCCCTGCAGCGGGAAAACAGGAAGGCCGCTGGGCCGCAGGGTCAGGGAGGGGCACCCAAGGCCCCTGCCCACCCTCCCCAGGGCACTTAGCCCCAGGCTCCTCAGTCCTGCTAAGCCATCTTCTTCTTCCAACCTAGGTGAGAGGGTGCCTCCCCCTGAACCCCCAGGGTCACCTGCCTTGGACCCTTGCATCCCAACTCCACCCGTGGATCCTTTTTTATTGAGACGGAGTCTCGCTCTGTTGCCCAGGCTGGAGTGCAATGGTGCGATCTCGGCTCACTGCAAACTCCGCCTCCCGGGTTGAAGGCATTCTTGTGTCTCAGCCTCCCTAGTAGCTGGGATTACAGGCGCCTGCCAACATGCCAGGCTAATTTTTGTATTTTTAGTAGAGACGGGGTTTCACCATTTTGGCCAGGCTGGGCTCAGACTCCTGACCTTAGGTGATCCACCCGCCTCGGCCTCCCAAAGTGCTGGGATTACAGGTGTGAGCCACCATGCCCGGCCTGCCCACGGATCTTTGATGAGACATTTTAAAACCCTATTCCATGGTCCAGCCCACTCCAAGCCCATAGGAGGGTCTGAGCCTGACTCTGGCCACCAGCCCAGCCCCTTGATGACTAGTGGCCCTTGACTCACCTCATCATCCTTGTACCAGGACAGATTCTCAGCGGTCAGCACAAACCAGTACTCCTTGGAGCCCCCTTTCATGATGCCAATATTATTGATAGTCAGCCAGCCCTTGCGGATGACCTGGAGGGTGATGGGGCAGGAGGTCAGCGGACAGGGCCTGAGCCTCCCTGTGGGGGATGGGGTAGGCAAAGAGAGGCATTCGGAACCCCACCCCTCCCCCAGCTCTCGGAGGCCTGGCAGTCAGCGAGGGTGGGGGCCAGACCTGCCTTGGTTTGAACCACAAGTGAACAGAGTGGAAGACAGAGGAAGACAGAGATCAGCTCAGGATAAAGAGCCTTTGACAGGCAGGCCTGGCCGAGTAAGGGACTGGAGGCCTGGGTAGGGGATGAGCTCCCTGTCATCACTAGGAGTATGCAAGCACAGTTAATGGGGGCGATTGGGCAAGCCAACTGTGAGTCTTGGAAGCTTAAGGTCTCATCTGTTCTGAGATGTGTTTCTGACTTTACACATGCTGCTGCTGCCTCTGCCTAGAAAGCACTTCTTCCTTTTTGCCTGGCAAATTCCTACTCAGCCTTCAGGTATCAGCTGAGAATTCACATTCTCAGGCAGGCCCTTCCTGGCCCCCAGTATAAATCAGGATTCCTATAATAATCTTTGATCACTCCCTGAAGTTGACTTCTGTAACATGATTTCGATTTTTAATTAACTTCTCTGCATGCGTGTGTGTGATTATCTGTCGATGTAGCCTCCCCTGCTAAATCGTGAACTCTTGGTCACTAGTACATCCCAGCACCTTGCAGAAGGCCTGGCAGATAGTAAGTGATCAATACATATTTGTAGTATGAATAAATAAAAGCTATGATAGTATGGTTCTAAGGGTCTTTGGCTCCAGGTCCCCAGGGGCAAGGGCTGCGCCACGAAGTGCCCAGAGTAACAAGCTAGTCCCTTTTCATGGCAGGAAGCAGCTGTCCCCAGGACTGTCCGGAGCCATGGCCACAGTCCAGGTCCTGTGGATTCTACTTCGGGGCTAGGGTCACCGGCCAGGTGCTGGCCATGGATCAGACCAAGAGGATGAGGGAATTTCTTCTGCTCCCTCCTGGACCCTGACCTCCCCAGATTCTTCTCTTGGGCATCCAGAGAAGACCCAAGGAGGCCTGGGGCTGGTGGCAAAGCCCTCTGGGGCCAGGCTTGCTTCTGGAGCCCTCCTTATGCCTCTCTGGCTTCCCTGAGAACCTGGCTGAGAACCCAAGCTGCACAGCCCAGCAGCAGTTGAGCTGAGGGGAGGCCACCAGCTGCCTCTCTCACCCCTTTCCAATCAGGCGAGGATTCCCACAGGGTCTTGTCACCGTCTCTGGAATTGGGTCCACTGTCCCAGGATGTGACCAGCAGATCTTGCCACCTGCTCCCCACCCTAACCTGTAGTCTTTGTCCTCCCCTTTGGCCACACCCAACCCCGAACTCCTCTCTGCTCGTCCTAAGCCCTCTCTGCAGCCCCGCACCAGGGACTTCCTGCTCTCCCAATCCCTACCCTGCATGGAGCTCTCGGGGGCCTTAGCTGGGCCCTACCAGCAGGCCCAGGTCTCCACGTCCCGCCCAGGGGCCAGCACCGTGTAGGCAACAGCTAATGTTGGCCGAATTGAATTGTCCTGATACTATGTTCATTCCTCCCTTCATTCTGTTGAGCACCTACTGCGTGCCAGGCACGGGGCTTGAGCTGAGGATTTAATGATAAATGGGACAGACTCAGCCCTCCCCTTGTGGGGCCTGGGAAGGAAATAGACATTAAGCCAATAATCACATAAACACCTAGAGTCTTACAAAGAAACTACGGCCTCTGGAACCTATGGAAAGAAAAGCTGAGGACCCTCGGGCTCATGTGTACAACTGAGCAAGCGCTTCGGACCAGGGATGTTTCCGCAGACATCTAAGGACAGAGAGCAGGAGGCCAGGTGAGCAGTGATTTCTTAACTTCTCTTGACTTCTCATTCGTCTCTTCATTCAAGTCCGGAGGCGATGGTTGTCAGCTTCTTAAAAACGTGTCTCACTCACGTGCATCCATCCATCCAACAGATGTTTAAGGAGCACCTACTCCATGCCAGGCCCGGCCTTCTCACCCACCCAGCCCCACACGGTCTAGTTTTGCCTGATGTAGGTGCTTGGCTGGTGCACACAGATGAACGGGTGGATGCGGCTGGGCCTGCCTCTGGTCTGAGGGCAGGTGTGAAATGCCAGGGGCTGGTGTGTACAAGCAGCTTCAGCCAAAGGGTGCCCTCCTACCCACTGCAGATTCCCACTGCCAATGGACCCTCCGCCCCCTCACTACACAAGCCGAGAGCCCCAGTCCTGGTACTCACCAGAATCTCATCCTGCAAAGAGGTAACCATAGCAACCACGAGAGGCATCGGGGAGAGAGGAGAGAGGGTTACTGAGGCAGAGTGGGAGGCTTGTGGCTGGCAGCTGACAGGTCCCTGGCCCCCTTGGGACTCTTCCCCTCAGGGGAGGAGCTCTCAGAGTCTGGCGTCCGTCCGGCACCCTCCATCCCTCAGTCTGGGGTGCTGGGGCCCACTCACCTGGTTCCCTGAAGTCTTCTTCTTGTTCATCTGGTTACTCCTCTGCTGAGCACTAATGGGAGGGAGGGGAGGAGTCTCAGAACTTCTCCTTTCAAGAGGCCCAACTCTACTGCCCACTGCTTAGTGGGCACAGGACCCAGAGCGTTAACCTAGCAGACCTGGGCTCTACACACACTCACACACACACACACATACACACACACACATACACACACATACACACACGTTATTACCTTCTCTGCCCAGGGAGCACTCACTTTTTGCCCAGGGAGAGCACTCACTTGGCAAAGCCTATGAAGTCCTCATGGTTGGTGTTCATGTAAGCCAGCTCGATATCGATGAGAAGCATGACCTTCAAGGATACGTAAGTTGGTGGGCAAGCGGAAAAGACACCACAAAGTTTTAAAACGCAGGGCAAGCGGGGAGAAAAATACTTGCAGCACATATAGAAGGTTGGTATCCATAATAAATATAGTCCCTACCATCAGTGAAAGACAAAAGCTAAGCGTGGTGGCTCACACCTGTAATCCCGGCACTTTGGGAGGTAGAAGTGGGAGGACTGCTTGAGCCTAGGAGTTCAAGACCAGCCTGGGCAACATAGGGAGACCTGTCTCTACCAAAAAACACAAAAGTTAGCCAGGCGTAGTGGCATGTGCCTGTAGTCCCAGCTGCTTGGGAGGCTAAGGCGGGAGGATTGATTGAGCCCAGGAAGTTGAGGCTGCAGTGAGCCAAGATTGCACCACTGCACTCAAGCCTAGAAGACAGAGCAAAACCTGAGAGAAAAGAAAAGAAAATAAGAGAGAAGAGGATGAAAGAAAGAAAGAAAATCACAAATCAAAATAGTCAAGAACATGGTGAATAATTCACAGAAGAAATGCATACAACCACTAAGGATGTGTAAAAAATCCTTACCCTCATTAATAAAGAAATGTAAGTTAAAAATGAGGCTTTTAGCCAGGTGTGGTGGCTCACACCTGTAATCCCAGCACTTTGGGAGGCCAAGGTGGGCAGATCACCTGAGGTCGGGAGTTTGAGATCAGCCTGGCCAACGTGGAGAAATCCCGTCTCTACTAAAAATACAAAATTAGTTGGGCATGGTGGCACATGCCTGTAATCCCAGCTACTTGGGAGGCTGAGGCAGGGGAATCACTTGAACCCAGGAGGTGGAGGCTGCAGTGAGCTGAGATGGTGCCACTGCACTCCAGCCTGGGCAACAAGAGCGAAACTTCGTCACAAACAAACAAACAAAAAGAGGTTTTTTCAATGATCAGCATGGCACAAGTGTTGGGAAATGAGCTCTCTCATATATTGTTGATGGAAGTGTAAATCAGTATCACCTTCTTGTAGGGCAATTTGGCAATATTTAACAAACATTAAAATGCACAGGGCTGGGTGTGGTGGCTCATGCCCATAATCCCAGCACTTTGGGAGGCTGAGGCAGGAGGATCGCTTGAACCTAGGAATTCAAGACCAACTTGGGAAACATGGAGAAACCCTGTCTCTACAAAAAATAGAAAAATTAACCAGGTGTAGTGGTGCACGCCTGTGGTCCCAGCTACTTGGGAAGCTGAGATGGGAGGATCACTGGAGCCCAGGGATGCAGAGGTTGCAGTGAGCCATAATGGCACCACTGCACTCCAGCCTGGGTGTCAGAGCGAGACCCTATTTCAAAAAAAAAAAAAAAAAAAAGCAATGCACATATTCACTTCCAGAATTATATCTCACAGATACACTCAACAAGTAAGCAAAGATACAGGAGCCAGAGTATTCAAAGTAGTACAGTTTGTAATAGAGAAAAATTGGGAGCAAGCCAGTGGCTATCTGAGGGTGAAATAGATTATGATACTCTCTAGACAAGAAAGCACCCTGCAGCTGTTCAAAAGAACAAGGATGGGCCGGGCGGGGCGGCTCACGCCTGTGATCCCAGCACTTTGGGAGGCAGAGGCAGGCAGATCTCCTGAGGTCACAAGTTCAAGACCAGCCTGGCCAACATGGTGAAACCCTGTCTCTACAAAAATTAGCCAGGTGTGGTGGCGTGCACCTGTGGTCCTAGCTAATTGGGGGGCTAAGGCAGGAGAATGGCTTGAACCTGGGAGGCAGAGGTTGCAGTGAGCCGAGATCAAGCCACTGCACTCCAGCCTGGGCAACTGAGCGAGACTCCATCTCAAAAAAAAAAAAAAAAGAAAAAAAAAAAAAAAAGAACAAGGATAATCTCCAGGTTCTGGCCTAAAAAGACCCTTGCAAATGATTAAGTGTGAACAGATTTGGAATTGAGTAGTGATAAGAATGACTTTCCAGATGGGACAAAGAATGCCAGGTTCAGACCCAAGCCCCACTGCTTCCTATGAGCTTGGGGTCTGTCCTCAGCCTCAGATTCCACAAATGTAGAGTTTCTTCCTCTTAGAACTGGTGAAGACACAGAAGACGAGATACTCAACAGATGTTAGATATTACGATTATCTTCAGAGGAAAAAGGCAAGGCACACAGCAGGATCGTGGTTTAGGATAAAGATGGAATCTGGATTGTGTGTGTTTGTGTGTGAGTGCACCTGCGTAAGAAAATGCCTGCAAGGTGACACACTAAACTGTTTTGCTTTTTGGGGTATTACTGAGGCAGAGTCTCGCTGTGTTGCCCATGCTGGAATGCAGTGGCATGATCACAGCTCACTGCAGCCTCCGCTTCCGGGGCTCAAGCGATCCTCCCACCTCAGCCTCCCATGTAGCTAGGAATTCAGGTGCATGCTGCCTCACCTAGCTAGTTTTTAAATTTTTTTTGTAGAGACGGGGTCTTGCCATGTTGCCCTGGCTGGTCTCAAACTCCTGGGCTCATATAATCCTCCCACCTAGGCCTCCCAAAGTGCTGGGATTACAGGTATAAGCCACTGTGTGGAGTCCCAAACTGTTACTAATGGTTATTTTTCAGGAGGAACTGGGGGTGGGGAAGAGTGAATGGAGGGCTATCTCCTTGTAATTTAACCACTTCAATACTGATTGAATCTTTTATTGAGTATTTATGATGTTTGTAATTAGAAAGCAATCAATAAGGATTTAAAAATATGACATCAACAACAAAAACATGAATGAATGGAGATGGCACCATCATGGAGAGATGTGTGAAAACAGGAAATGGGAAATGGGAGCCAGAGGAGCCTACAACAGACAGGCAGGGGCATGGCAGACATGGATTAGGAAGGAGGACTCGTCTCTGAGCTCCGTGAGGGCCACGATGGGCCCTGTTCACCTCTGCTCCATGCAGCTCAGAGGTGGCATTCAGTGGCTATGTTTGTGATTGAAGGAAGAAATGAGTGAATATTTGATGAATGATGACAAAAAAGGTGGGGGTCACTATGAGGGGTATAATGTGACCCAGAGAACCAGCAAATAGACAAAGAGAGGCCCAAAGAGAGGACCACAAGGATAGACTGCCAGGAAGTGAAGAAAGCCACACTAGCCTGGGCACCGTGCCTCATGCCTGTAATCCCAGCACTTTGGGAGGCTGAGGCTGATCGCTTGAGCCCAGAAGTCTGAGACCATCCTGGGCACCATAGTGAGACCCCTGTCTCTACAAAAGATTTTAAAATTAGCCAGGCATAGTGGCATGCACCTGTAGCCCCAGCTACTCAGGAGGCTGAAGTCGGAGGATCGCTTGAGCCCGGGAGGTCGAGGCTACAGTGAACCATGATCATGCCACTGTACTCCAGCCTAGCAGGGGCGACAGAGCGGTACTCTGTCTCCAAAAAAATAAGCATAGAATTACCCTATGGCCCAGCACTTCCACTTTTAGGTATATATCCAGAAGGGTTGAAAGTGGGGACTCAGATAGGGATTTGTACACTCATCTTCATAGCAGCGTGATGCACAATGGCCAAAAGTAGAAACAACCCACATGGATAAACCAAGTGTGGTCCATCCATACAATGTAATATTATTTAAGTCTTAAAAAGGAAGCAGCTTTTGACACATGCTACAATATGGATGACCCTGGAAGACATTATGCTAAGTGACAGATACTGTATGACTCCACTTACATAAGGTCCCTAGAAAAGTCAAATTCATAGAGACAGGCCAGGCACGGTGGCTCACGCCTGTAATCCCAGTACTTTGGGAGGCCGAGGCGGGTGGATCACTCAAGATCAGGAGTTTGAGACCAGCCTGGCCAACATGGTGAAACCCCGTCTCTACCAAAAATATAAAAAATAAGCCGGGTATGGTGGCACATGCCTGCAATCCCAGCTACTTGGGAAGCTCAGGCAGGAGAATCACTTGAACTCAGGAAGCAGAGGTTGCAGTGAACTGATTTCATGCCACTGCACTCCAGCCTGGGCAACAGCGAGGCTCCGTCTCAAAACAAACAAACAAACAAAAAAACAAATTCATAGAGACAGGAAGTTGAATGGTAGCTGCCGGGAGCTGGGGGAGCAGGGAATGGGATGTTAGTGTGGCTCATGTCTATAGACGGTGGCTCATGTCTATAATCCCAGCACTTTGGGAGGCCAAGGTGGGCGGATCATTTGAGGTCAGGAGTTTGAAACCAGCCTGGCCAACATGGTGAAACCCCGTCTGTACTAAAAATACAAAAATGTCCCAGGCATGGTGGCACATGCCACCTCCCAGTAGCCTCCCAGCTACTCGGGAGGTTGAGGCAAGAGAATCGCTTGAACCCAAGAAGCGGAGGTTGCAGTGAGCTGAGATCACACCACTGCACTCCAGCCTGGGCGATAGAGCAAGACTCTGTCTCAAAAACAAAGAGTTCTGTGGATGGATGATGCTGTGCAACAACGCAAATTTACTTAGTGCCACTGAACTGTGCACTGAAACACAGCTAAAGTGGTATGTTATGTGTATTTTACTACAATAAAAAAGAGAGAGAAGCAGAGAGTCAGTATGAAAGGGAGGAAGACTGAGACCGAAGAGACAACACGAGAAGGAAGCGACCCCAGGGCCAGGAGTGGAAGGCGCAGGCGGCCAGGAGGGGAAGGAAGGTGCGGCCAGGCCGGGTGCCACAGGACTCACCTGCTCCTTGGTGCGGCCCTCGCGCTCCCGGATGTGGGTGGTCACGATGCGCTCCATCTCCTCCCGCAGCCGCGGGTACTGCTGGAGCTGGGGAAGGGCAGGAGGGCAGAAAGCCACGTACACAGGGGGCATGGGTAGGGAGCACCCACAACCCATGAGTCCAGGGATCCGCGGCGCAGGGTGGGAGGCACACACAGAACGCCCACGACGCGGGGAAGAGAGACCTGGGGTCCCAGGACGCTGATGGCACCAAGCCACGGCCGCCCCTTTCCCCCAAGTGTGGGTTCCAAATGTCAATTCAAGGGTCTTCCTGGTTCCAGGCCCTCTTCACTGGCCTACCTGGGCAACTTCAGGGCAAAGGGGTGGTTCCCGTGGGAGAAAGGCCATGGGAATGAGGCTGCCCCACTGACTGGTTAGGTCGAGACCTTGGGACTGTTAGCTCCCAAGGTGTTCCCTCATCCTCAGGGCCACCCCGTGCCTTCCTAAAGGCGTGGAGGGACAGCTAGACGGGGAATCGGGCAGGGGACAGCCTCCGGATTCCTATCCAGGAGGAATCGGGGGAGGACAGGGCCCAAGGTGCCAGTTGGCCTCCTGAGTCAGGCTGGGGACAGGCAATGCTCCTTGTCAGAGCTGGGGAGGGGGTTCGGGGGAAACCAGCAGTCACACCAGAGGACATGCAGGAAACACAGGCAAAAGCATGCAAGGGCTGGGGGACATGCGAGGCGGGGGCCAGCAGCATGAGCAGTACCCCGCGGGGCCTGGCTGGGCCCTGGCCCTCTTGGTGGAATCCATTCAGCTGTTTCCCTTGCATGCCCCTGCCTGGCACCACCATCCCCAACCACATCTGCCCGGCTCTGGCCAGCCACACTCTCTTGACCCCACTCCCTTGGGGTAGGAGCTCAGCAGCACCCTTTTCCCCCCAGTTCTTATGAAGGGAGGCTGAAGGGGAAGTTGCTCCATGCCCATCCCCCTCTGCCTGTGAATCGTGCCCTCAGCTCAGTCAGGCTCTGGACACAGCCCAGGTGATTCACTTGACTACAAGGTTCTGCCGGACTTCAGCTCCTCCAGAAAGCCTGCCCCGACTGCCTGAGAGCTGAGTTAGGGGCCTCTCTCCACTCCTCTCCCACTCCACCTCCTCCAATCAACTGGGTTGCAACTGCCCCTGAGGCAGGGCTGGGGCAGGGCCAGGCCCATGGCCAGTGCCGGAAGAGGGCGTGTTGGAGAATGAGGGAATGAATGAAGGATGGATGCCAGGGTGAGTGGCACAGGGTCCTCAGCCCTCTGGCCCATGATCAGATCTTCCCGGGGAGGACACTCAGTGCGTTTCTGTTGGTGGGAGCCCACCCCCAGGGGCTCTGGTCCTGTGGGCCCATCCTCCCCACGCGCTGGCCACCTGGGGCCCAGGCAGCGTAATGGGGCAAAGCTGGGAGCGCTCCTCGTCCTTCTTCCCGTGGCTGGGTCAGGCCCTTCAGGTGGGTCCCCCAGTGGAGGAAGAGGCCCAGGGATTGGTGTGCCTGAGTCACAGGTGGTGATTCTGAGGGCAGGATGGGGGCCAAGGAGTTTCGAGGAGGGGCATCAGGAGAGGCAGGAGGATGGGGAGAAAGCAGTGCCCTGGATATCGGTCCAGGATGCCAACACGAGGGATGCCCACATCACACCCATCATCCCGTGGCTGTGCCAAGGGTGTGGCTGATGTGGCTAAGCTCAGGAGGCCTGAGGGAGGGGCAGCCTGAGACCAGGGGCTTAAAAACAGTGACTAGAGGGGCTCTGTGGACCCCACTGCTCCTGAGGCTCAAGGAAGAGCTCCTGCTCTTTGCAGTCTGCAAGTCTGGGCAGACATTTAGGACTGGGTCACCACCACCAAGCCTCTTCTGAGGTGGTCCCAAGTGCTCCCTCCCAGGGTAGAGTTTGGAGGAGCGGGGAGAAGGAGGGAGGAGGAGGGAGCAATTTGCCAAAGAGCATGACCAATTCTCCCACTAACCGCCTGGATGTCACATGTCTCAAGTTTTCCACGTGTCACCCATGGCAGGGCAGCCTCCACCCCTTTAAGAAGTTCTGTTCCCTTTGAGCATCTTTTTCCATTCTGGCTGCCTCTGAACATTTCCAGGACATTTCGCCAGCTTTTCAAAAGGAACTTTCCCCTCTCAGCCGTTGGCTGAGGGGGCGGTCAGCCTGGAGCCCCCTGGGTTAGCGGTCAGGGACACAGCCCCTGGAGCCATTCAGCCCTGGGTTCAAAGCCAGCCACTGTCTGCTGACTCTCCTTAGAAAAGTGACCAGACCACTCTGGACCTCAGTTTCTCCATGTGGAAAATGGGGTAGTAATGACACCTTCCCTCCTAGGGTTGTTGAGAGAACTGAGCAGCACACCCCATGCCCAACATTAAACTCTTGATTTCACTCAGAGATGGCAAGTCTAATCCCAGCAGGGCTAGGAGTAATGAGAGTTCACTTATTAACACTCTTTAAACCTCTGGCAGGAGTGACTTGCTAAACTTAGAAAACTCGAGGGAAGGAAAAAAATACACATACAAAGACAGGTGGGTTTTGACTATAAGGAAAAAAATAATTATGATCCACTAAACCAATCAAAAGGCAAAAGTGGTGGGGCGCGGTGACTTGCACCTGTAATCCCAGTACATTGGGAGGCTGAGGCGGGTGAATCACCTGAGGTCAGGAGTTTGAGACCAGCCTGACCAATATGGAGAAACCCCATCTCTACTAAAAATACAAAAGTAGCCGGGCGTGGTGGTGTGTGCCTCTAATCCCAGCTACTTGGGAGGCTGAGGCAGGAGAATCGCTTGAACCCAGGAGGTATAGGTTTCAGTGAGCTGAGATCGTGCCATTGCACTCTAGCCTGGGCAACAAGAGCGAAACTCTGTCTCCAACAACAACTACAACAACAAAAAGGCAAAAGTATCCATTTCCTCCTTGTAGACCAAAGGTTTCCTTTTCAAATATTTGTTGATCAGTTTTTTCTGCTCACAAAAATCACACAGATGGCAGGGCACAGTGGCTCATGCCTGCAATCCCAGCACTTTGGGAGGCTGAGGCAGGTGGATTACTTGAGGTCAGGAGTTCGAGACCAGCCTGGCTAACATGGTGAAATCCCATCTCTACTAAAATTACAAAAATTAGCTGGGCATGATGGCGCATGCCTTTAATCACAGCTACTTAAGAGGCTGAGTCACGAAAATCGTTTGAACCCAGGAGGCAGAGGTTGCAGTGAGTCGAGATCGTGCCACTGCATTCCAGCCTGGGCGACAGAGCAAGACTCTGTCTCAAGAAAAAAAAAAAAAAAAAAAAAAAGACAAAGAAAAAAAAATCACACAGACTCACTGTAAAAGATTAGAGCATGACGCCGGGCGCGGTGGCTCACGCCTGTAATCCTAGCACTTTGGGAGGCCGAGGTGGGTGGATCACAAGGTCAGGAGATCGAGACCATCCTGGCTAACACGGTGAAACCCCATCTCTACTAAAAATACAAAAAATTAGCCGGCATGGTGGCAGGTGCTTGTAGTCCCAGCTACTCGGGAGGCTGAGGCAGGAGAATGGAGTGAACCCGGGAGGCGGAGCTTGCAGTGAGCCAAGATCGAGCCACTGCACTCCAGCCTGGGCTACAGAGCGAGACTCCGTCTCAAAAAAAAAAAAAAAAAGATTAGAGCATGACTAAAATTTATGAAGTGGGCTGAGTGTGGTGGCTCATGCCTGTAATCCCAGCACTCCGGGAGGCCAAAGTGGGTGGATCACCTGAGGTCAGGAGTTCGAGACTAGCGTGGCCAACATGGTAAAACCCAACATGGTAAAACCCTGTCTCTACTAAAAATACAAAAAACTAGCTGGGTGTGGTGGCGGGCACCTGTAATCCCAGTTACTCGGAGGCTGAGGCAGAATTGCTTGAACCTGGATGGCAGAGGTTGCAGTGAGCCGAGATCGCGCCATTGCACTCCAGCCTAGGCAACAAGAGCGAAACTCCATCTCAAACAAAACAAAACAAAACAAAACAAAAAAAACTTCATGTCTCTTAGTGCCTACTGCATGGCAGTAATAAAATCTGTGAAGTGAAAATCAAAAGATTCCTATGGTGAATACGCTTTTGGGATTTTATCATTCACATATATTATTTTTTCTCCAAAATACTACATATTCTTTTCTGAAACCTGCTTTTTTTTTCCCCCAAGGAGGGACAAGCAAATCCCATCTTTTTTTAATCTTTAATTTTAATTTTTTTTGAGGCGGAGTCTCGATCTGTCACCCAGGCTGGAGTGCAATGTCTCGATCTCAGCTAACTGCAACCTTTGCCTCCTGGGTTCAAGCAATTCTCTGCCTCAGCCTCCCGAGTAGCTGGGATTATAGGCACCCGCCACCACACTCAGCTAACTTTTGTATTTTTAGTAGAGACAGGGTTTCACCATGTTGGCCAGGCTGGTCTTGAACTCCTGACCTTGTGATCCACCCACCTCAGCTTCTCAAAGTGCTGGGATTACAGGCATGAGCCACCACGCCTGGCCCCCTGCCCTGTCTTCTTTTTTTCCTTTGAGACGAAGTCTCACTCTGTCACCCAGGCTGGAGTGCAGTGGCGTGATCTTGGCTCACTGCAACCTCCGCCTTCCAGGTTCAAGTAATTCTCCTTTCTCAGCCTCCCGAGTGGCTGAGATTACAGGTGCCCACCATCACACCTGGCTAATTTTTCTATTTTTAGTAGCGACAGGTTTCACTGTGTTGGCCAGGCTGGTCTCAAACTCCTGATCTCAGGTGATTCACCTGCCTCGGCCTCCCAAAGTGCTGGGATTACAGGCGTGAGCCACTGCACATGGCCAAGCTTTTTTTTTTTTTTTTTTTTTTAAAGACAGGGTTTTGCTCTGTCTTCCAGGCTGGAGTGCGGTGGTGTGATCACAATCACGGCTCACCGCAGCCTCGACCTCCCAGGTTCAAGCAATCCTCCCACCTCAGCCAGCCAAGTAGCTGGGACTACTGGCTTGTGCCACCATGCCCAGCTAATTTTTTAAAATTTTTGTAGAGACAGGGTGTTACTATGTTGCCTAGGCTGGCCTCTAACTTCTTTTTTATTTATTTAAAAACAGGGTCTCTAAAATAACCCAGGAGTGCAGTGGTGCAACTGAACTCCTTGGTTCAAGCCATCCTCCTGCCTCAGCCTCCCAAGTAGCAAGGACTGCAGGTACACACTGCCACACCTGGCTAATTTTTTAAAAAACTTGTAGAGACAGGGTTTTGCTGTGTTGCCAAGGCTGATATTAAACTTCTGGCCTCAAGCAATCCTCTCGCTTCAGCTTCCCAAAGTTCTGGGATTACAAGTGTGAGCCATGGTACCTGGCCTATATAAACATTTTAATGGGTGTGTAATATTCTATTGAATAGATTTATCACAGTTTACTTAACAATTTTCCTATTGGTGAATATTTAGATAGTCTCCAGTTTTTCTTTTTCTTTTTTTCTTTCTTTTTTTTTTTGAGACGGAGTCTTGCTCTGTTGCCCAGGCTGGAGTGCAGTGGTGTGATCTTGGCTCACTGCAACCTCCACCTCCCCAGTTTAAGCGATTCTCCTGCCTCAGCCTCCCGAGTACCTGGGACTACAGGTACATGCCACCATACCAGGCTAATTTTTTATTTTTAGTAGAAATATTTCACCATATTGGCCAGGCTGGTCTTGAACTCCTGACCTTGTGATCCACCCACCTCAGCCTTCCAAAGTTCTGGGATTACAGGCGTGAGCCACCGCACCTGGCCAGATAGTCTCCAGTTTTTCAATATTCTAAATAGCCTGACAATGAATATCTCTGTGGTTAGATTTTTGCTTTTCTTTCTCTGTGATTGTTTCCTTAGGATAGATTCCTAGAAGACTGATTACTAGATATAAACATTTTAAAACCATGAAACACTTTGACTCTCATTCCAAAAGGAAAGCAGTAATTATGGTAAAATTTGGAAACAACCCAAATGTCCATCAAGAAGGGACTGATGCCAGATGGTGGCTCATGCCTATAATCCCAGCATTTTGGGAGGCTGAAGCAGGAGGACTGCTTGAGGCCTGGAGTTCAAGAGCAGCCTGGGCAACATAGTAAGATCCTGTCTTAACAAAAAAATTATTAGGCTGGGCAGGATGGCTCATACCTGTAATCCCAGCACATTGGGAGGCCGAGGTGGGTGGATCACTTGAGGTCAGGAGTTCAAGATCAGCCTGGCCAACATGATGAAACCCCAACTCTACTAAAAATATGAAAAATTAGCTGGGCATGGTGGGAGGCGCCTGTAATCCCAGCTACTCAGGAGGCTGAGGTAGGAGAATCGCTTGAACCTGAGAGATAGAGGTTGCAGTGAGCCGAGATCGCACCACTGCACTCCAGCCTGGGCGACAAGCGTGAAACTCTGTCCCCCCCCAAAAAAACCCAAAAAATAAACAATAAAAACAAAACCAAAAAAACCAATCAAACAAAAAAATTAGCTGGGTGTGGTGCTACGTGCTTGTAGTCCCAGCTACTTGGGAGGCTGAGGCGGGAGGATCGCTTGAACCCAGTTTGAGGCTGCAGTGAGCTATGATGGTGCCACTGCACTCCACGCTGGGAGATACAGCAAAACCCTGTCTCTAAAAAAGAAAGAAAAAACAATGGGATAAGTACTACAAATACATCTGTAAGGATGTTCACTGTAGCAACATTTGTGAAGGCAAAAAAAAAAAAAAAAAGCAAAAAATTTAAACTTAAATGTCCGTCAAGAGGACATTGAACATATAAATCATGCCACATTTCTACAGTAGAATACAACTCAGTAGTTAAAGAGCGTGAGACCGGCTGGGCGTGGTGGCTCACACCTGTAATCCCAGCACTTTGGGAGGCCGAGGTGGGCAGATCACCTGAGGTCAGGAGTTTGAGACCAGCCTGGCCAACATGGTGAAACCCTGTCTCTACTAAAAATACAAAAATTAGCCAGGTGTGGTGGTGCTCACCTGTAGTCCCAGCTACTTGGGAGGCTGAGGTGGAAGTACCACTTGAACCCAGGAGGTGGAGGTTGCAGTGAGCCGAGATCATGCTACTGCATTCCAGCCTAGGCAACAGAGTACGACTCTGTCTCAAAAAAAAAAAAAAAAGAGGCCGGGCGCGGTGGCTCAAGCCTGTAATCCCAGCACTTTGGGAGGCCGAGGCGGGCGGATCACAAGGTCAGGAGATCGAGACCACAGTGAAACCCCGTCTCTACTAAAAATACAAAAAATTAGCCGGGCGCGGTGGCGGGCGCCTGTAGTCCCAGCTACTCAGGAGGCTGAGGCAGGAGAATGGCGTGAACCCAGGAGGCGGAGCTTGCAGTGAGCCGAGATCGCGCCACTGCACTCCAGCCTGGGCAACAGCGTGAGACTCCGTCTCAAAAAAAAAAAAGAAAAGGCATGAGACCAATCTTTATGGAGCAACATACAATGATTACACAACACACTGCTCAGTGAAAAAGAATGAGCGGTGGCTCATGTTTGTAATCCTAGCACTTTGGGAGGCCGACGCAGGCGGATCACCTCAGGTCAGGGGTTCGAGACCAGCCTGGCCAATGTGGTGAGATCCCACTCTACTAAAAATACAAAAATCAGCCAGCGGTGGTGGTGCATGCTTGTAATCCCAGCCACTCGGGAGGCTGAGGCAGGAGAATACTTGAACCCAGGAGGCAGAGGTTGCAGTGAGCCGAGATGGTGCCACTGCACTCCAGCCTGGGCGACAGAGCAAGATTCCATCTCGGGGAAAAAAAAAAAAAAAGGAATGGAGATGATTGATGCTTACTTGAAACTCAATGCTAAGGCGGATGCGCCTCCACCCACCAGCATAGGAAAGTCCTTCAGATACAGGTGAGGCTGGGCTCACCCCTGGCGCCTCTGATTTAGCCTGCTGGAGAAGCTCCTGCAGGCAACTGATTCTCTTGCACCCCCCTGGGAAGAACTGCTTTAGACAACCTGGCTAAAAATTCTCAAAATGCCCAAAAGCAGACAAATAGGAAAAAGGCATCTAAAAAGTCACAGACAACTCAAAAGAGGCCGCCCCTGTCTAGCATGCACGGTTTACTCACTGTAAAGTGAGTAATCCAATATGCTTTTAGGCAAATTGGTTTTGAGGAACTAGGACAGCTCCCCCTGCCCAGGAGTCCCTGACCTCACACCCTTTCCTCTGACCTTCCTAAATCTGAATCACACTCTGCTTCTCTTTTCTGAGACTCTGTTTTGCCATCTGCAAAATGGGAATAACAACACTACCCACGTCTCAGGGTGGTTGAGAGGACTGAGTCAGATAGTAAGGGCAAGCACTTAGCCCGTGCTTGGCACATAGTAGGTGCTCAGTAAACAGCTGCCATCTCCTTAACATCATCTTCATCACTGGCATAGGTGCCACCAAGGAGACTTGGGTTGGAGTCAAGTCTTCTGGCAGGGATGGGGGCCTGGAGGAGTCATGAGTGCAAGCACCCAGGGTTAGAAACTGGCAGGAAACACTAGGGCTGGGTCCCTGTGAGTAACCATGAGGCCTGCTCAGGAGATCGTTCTGCCCACGGGAGGCCATGGCCACAAGGAATGGACGGCCAGGTCCAGCCCCGCCCAGGCGGCTGTCATACCTTTTCGCTACACTTTCTGATGGTGGCTGTGAGCTCACTGACTACCATATCCACACACTTGATACTGGGCTCTTTGAGCTTCTGCACCTGCTTTTTCACTGTGGCTTCAAAAGCGAGGTCAGGTGTGAAGAGGCCCGTCCTGCACCCGGGGAGGAGGTGGGGACAGGAGGAGGAGCAGCCGTGAGTGGGGAGAAGTGGGTGAAAGCCAAGCAGAGACAGGAATCCAGGGGTGGAGAGGATGGCACGGGCATGGGGGAAGAGAGAGACATCGACACAGATAAAGAGAGAGAGAGAACAGAAGACAATGTGAGCGTGGGACCGGCCCTCCCTCGCCACCCGGGGTCGGCACCTCCCAGGTGCTGCCAAGCATCCCCTGGGCTCCGTGGGTATGGCCAGAGGTACGAGGGACCAAGTCCCTGCTCCGTACAATACCCTTATTGAGTTCAGATCCTCTTCCCAGGGATGCTCCTCGGCCTCACTGAGGCTGCCTGCTCTCTCCCAGTGCCATCTTTGTCCACGGCCTTGGGTTCTTCTAAGGAGCTGACCCAGGCCAGGACAAGGCCAGGACCTCATCCACCCATCCTGTTCAATTCTACGTTTCCCAGTGTCCTGGAATTTGCTTCATCCTGACTCCAAACCTCAGCACCATTTCCTGTCTCTAGGGTTGCCACATCCAGTTGCCCAGGCCATGCACTGCACAACTCCAGGGGGCTCCATTCTCATAAATCATGGTGCAGAGGCCGCCTCCTGGAGTTGCAGCATAGCAGCCTGACCTCCACTCTCCAGCTCCCTGCTCTAGTCGTGACCCTCCCTTTCTCTTCAAGGGGCATTCCTTGTCTCTCCTCTACAGGGGTTTGGTGGAACCAAAAGACAGAAAGAGAAGAGGAAAGACAGAAAGAGTGGAGGTGGTGATAGAGACGGGCCAGGACAGCAGTGGGGAGAGGAAAGGAAGGGAGGCTGGAGGGTGGAATCGAGGAGCACTGGACTTGGAGTCCAGAGCCGTGGCTTCAAGTAACAGCTCTGCCACCTCCTGACTACTGTGACCTTGGGCAAGCCACTTGATCTGGAGCTTCACTGTTCGTGCTGTGAAATGAGCACTGTCCTCCGTGCCCTGCCTCCCTGCGTGGTTCTGTGAGGCTTGGGTGGTGGCGCAGATGGGAGAAGGGCTCTATCCTTGGAAGGCCAAATGTGGATGGAAGGGAGGGAGAGGCCCTGCGTGAGGGTCCTGCGTGAGGGTGAAGTGAGGATGGGGAAGATGAAGGACAGCGGGGAGCCAGGGCACCTGCTAGTCCTGGGTCCTCTGCACCCCTCTGGCCACCCAGGCCCACCGAGCAGTGCCCAGGACTGCCCTGCACTTCACCTGTCTCCAAGGCTAAGGTTTCCCCAGACCCCTCCCTGGAGCTCCCAAAGATGACACCTCTGAGGACAGGGAGGGGGCGCAGGGTCCCCTCAAGCCCTATTCTCTGAGCTGGGGGAGCTCTTGGTGGGCTCTTGGGGTAAATAGCCAGCCATCATCCCCGTCTCACCCATGTCCAATCCCTGAGTCCCCAGACCTGGGGGCCAGGGGTGGGTGAGGCCCCCTCAGAGGCACATTCTCTCCTGGTCAGTGGCGGCCTGCCTCCCCACCCCGCTGAGGTCTGTACATGCTACCGAGGAGGCAGGGGGGGACACGGGGAGGGAGCGCCTGGCAGCAGTGCAGGGCGGGGCAGAGGCAGTGGGGGCTGGCCCGGGCCTCCGGGTTACCTTCTTGGTGCACTGTCTAACGGTGCTGATTAGCTCCGAGATAACCATGTCCACACACTTGAGACACGGTTCTCGGATCTTCTTCACCTGCTTTTTCACAATGGTCTCAAAGGCCATGTCTGGGGTAAACAGCCCCGTTCTGAACGCCCGGAGCGGGAGAAGGGCACAGTGTCACAGGCCAGTGCCAGCCAGGAGGGCCAGATCGAGGCCCCTCCCCAAGCCCATGAACTCTGCCCGAAGGGCCCTTCCACTACCCCTCTCTGGGCCTCGGTGTCCCCAGCTGTAAAATGGGAGGGAGGGGTTCTAATGAAGGGTTTTTTTTTTTTTTTTTTTTTTCCCCCGAGACAGAGCCTCGCTCTGTTGCCCAGACTGGAGTACAGTGGCGCGATCTCGGCTCACTGCAACCTCTGCCTCCTGGGTTCACACCATTCTCCTGCCTCAGCCTCCCAAGTAGCTGGGACTACAGGTGCCCGCCACCATGCCCGGCTCATTTTTTTGTATTTTTAGTAGAGGCAGGGTTTCACCGTGTTAGCCAGGATGGTCTCAATCTCCTGACCTCATGATCTGCCTGCCTTGGCCTCCCAAAGTGCTGGGATTACAGGCATGAGCCACTGCGCCCGGCCTTAATGAAAGGTTTTCAATTGAGGCTGTTTGGGGCAAGACAAGGTGGTTGAGAGGACTGAGTATCTGATAATATAAGTCCTGCTTCCTCATAAGGGTCTGTGCATACAGAAGGTTCTATGGCCACAAATGGCTTGAAAATTGCCAAACTGGGTTCTCCATAAGAGCCTTTCCAGGAATAGAGTGCTTTGTTTTAAGACTAGGAAAGAGATCTTTTTTTCTGTGAATTGGCCAGTGCAGTTATCAGGAAGTAAATTCCATGCCAAATCTTGGAAATGAACCTGCATGAGAGCAGGGGACACTGGGTCTTGTTCACTGCCTGGCAGAGGGTAGGTGCTTTAAATTTTCCTGCCCAGTGGATTTGTTGGATGAACACAGCATAGATCTGGGTCCCTGAAGGGGATCTAAGCTTTTGAGGAACAGATTCCACCTCCCAATCCTGTTTCCTGCTCCACAGGTTGCCTAGAAGGAGGGCAGTGGGGTGGAATGGGATTGACTCTGGGCTAATGTGAATACAGGAGGGTCTGGAGGGTTGCAAAGTCCCCGGCCGTCATAAAAGGACACAGCTTCATACTTAGATGCTCCACCCCAGGCCCTACCTAGTGGTTTGGGTATCTTTGTCCCGTCACCCGGGTGGCACTAGGGGAGCTATCTCACCCTGGGGATGGGCCCAGCCCCAGAGGGTGTTTCCCCGGCCACCTGCGCCCTGGGCTGTGCCCAGTTGGCCCAGCAAGTTGCAGTAGGCGGGGTGGCCCGGGTCCACTGCCCCAAGCTGGAACCTGTCATGCAGGGAGCCAAAAAGTTGGGGTGAAGAGGACTGGGGAACAGAGCTCTCAGTCCTTCCTGAGGGAGGCCCACTTCATCACTCCCTGCGCCTCTGTCCCAGACCCCCTGCTTCTGGAGTTCAGCCCCCCTCCCAGGCCCCAATACGTGCCTAATGCCATGGATATTCTTGATAGCATAGCTGATCTCCCTTCGAAGTTCCTTCTCGTCAAACTCCATCTGTGTAGAAAAGCAGAGAAAAGGCTGGTCAGGGCCTGTCCTCCTACCTGGGAGGTCAAGACAGGGCCCATACCACACCCAGGGCTGGGCATCAGGGCCTCTGGGGTGGGGGTCAGCCAAAGCACACACAGAGAGACTCCTGAGTGAGGGTGGGGGGGTCCTGAGCCATCCTGTCCCCAGGGCTGCCTGACCTACCTTGACCAGCTCAAAGGGGAAGCGCTCGTGGAAGATTCGGTTAATGCGGGCTCCCCCTGACAGTTCATAGGTGTCGATCTGATCTCCTGAGCCCTCAATGCGCTTCTCAAAGTCTACGGCGAACTGCTGGACCATCCTGGGGGGAGAGTGGTGTGGCCTGAGGGGGCAGGAGCAGCCCAGCAAAGGGAACCCTGGGAGAGCCCCCTGCTGAGAGGCTGGGGGTGGGAATTCAGTGATAGGAGCAGGAGCTGGGGGAGCCTCACTGCAGCAGGGCCTTGGTCTTGCGAGCCGGGTCATCAGGGCGGAAGTTCTTGTACTCCTCCACCTCCTTCTCAATGGACAGCAGCTGGCTCTGCAGCTTGTTCCGCAGCCCCGGCAGTGTGTCCCGGATGTGGTTCGTCAGTTGCTGGGGGTAAGGGTGAGGAAAGGGTTAAGGACAGATGGTCACAGGGCCAGGAAGGGACTTGGATGCCAGGGGACTGTGTGAATGTGGTGAGGTGGAGTGCTAAGGAGGGCAGCCCTGCCACTGCTGTCCGGACCACTGGCATGAAAGCTGGTTCATAGAAGGAGCTTGCAGAGATATATTAGTTGAATTAATGGGTGCATAATTTTCAGTAAAGCCAGAAATCTGGATTTGTATTTGGAATTTCCTGATTTTTGGCCAATTTAATATTTTTCTTTTTCTTTTTCTTTTTTTTTTTTTTTTTTTTCGCTCTGTCGACCAGGCTGGAGTGCAGTGGCCGGATCTCAGCTCACTGCAAGCTCCGCCTCCCGGGTTTACGCCATTCTCCTGCCTCAGCCTCCCGAGTAGCTGGGACTACAGGCGCCCGCCACCGCGCCCGGCTAGTTTTTTGTATTTTTTAGTAGAAACGGGGTTTCACCGTGTTAGCCAGGATGGTCTCGATCTCCTGACCTCGTGATCCACCCGTCTTGGCCTCCCAGAGTGCTGGGATTACAGGCTTGAGCCACCGCGCCCGGCCTTTTTTTTCTTTTTTTTTTTTGAGACGGAGTTTCACTCGTCACCCAGGCTGGAGTGCAATAGTGTGATCTTGGCTTACTGCAACTTCAACCTCCGCCTCCCAGGTTCAAGCAATTCTCCTGCCTCAAGCAATTCTCCTGAGTAGCTGGGACTGCAGGCATGCGCCACCATGCCTGGCTAATTTTTTGTATTTTTAGTAGAGACAGGTTTTCGCCATGTTGGCCAGGCTGGTCTCGAACTTTTGGCCTCAAGTGATCCACCCGCTTCAGCCTCCCAAAGTGATGGGATTACTGGCATGAACCACCATACTGTCCCAATGTAATATTTTTAGACGTGTGTCTGAGGCAGGGGTGGCCAGAGGGCTGCCCCTTGGACCCTCTGGGTTTAAAGCCTCCTTTGAGGTCATTCTCAAGTTCTAGCACTCCTTGCTAAGTGCCCCCACACAGTATCTCCCTGAACCTTTACAACAATCCTATGAAACAGGTCTGATCACCATTGTCTCCATTTTACAGATGCAGAAATAGAGGCTTAGAGACCAGGCACGATTATGGCTCATGCCCGTAATCCCAACACTTTGGGAGGCCAAGGCGGGCAGATCACCTGAGGTCAAGAATATGAGACCAGCCTGGCTAACATGGTGAAACCCTGTCTCTACTAAAAATACAAAAATTAGCCGGGTGTGGTGGTGTGTGCCTGTAATCCCAGCTACTTGGGAGGCCGAGGCAGGAGAATGGCTTGAATCCAGGAGGCGGAGGTTGCAGTGAGCCGAGATCGCACCATTGCACTCCAGCCTGGGCAACAAGAGCAAAACTCCATCTCAAAATAAATAAAGAAAGAAAAAAAGAAAATAAAGAAAAAAGAAATAGAGGCTCAGAGAGCCAGAGAGAGTGTCTCAGAGAGGGAGTGACAAAGCTGGGATTGGAACCCAGGTCTTGCCTACACAGACAGACAGACAGTCAGACAGACAGACAGACACACACACACACATGCTTCAGTTCTGGACGCCCCATTCCAGATAGAGAAAAGTCCTGAGAAAGTCCCTGGGATTCCCTGTTAAGGTCTTCAGCCAAGTATACTTGAATCCTGGCTCCCAAACCCAAGCTCTTCCCCATGACACCCTCCACATAGGTCTTGGCCTTCTCCATGTTGGGGACTTCCAGGTCCCAGACGGGGAAATGTCAGCGAAGCTTTGCTGCTACCTGGCTGTAGGGCTGTGGGAAAGTTGCTTTGATTTTCTGAGCCTCAGTTTGTCTATCTGAGGCTAACCTCTGCTGGTCACTCTCAGAACACACTTAAATTATCCTGTTTTCATGCTTGTTTCCCCAGGCCCATCCTGGCTTGGTCGCCTACCTGATTGAGGACCTTCTGCAGGTAGGGCGTGCCCATACGGTCAGCCAAGTGGCGATAAGATGGATGGGAGAGGAAGAACTTTCGTTCAGCAGCCAAGGCAGCGGTAATGTCCTTCTTGCCATCAATGTCCTTCTGGCTCCGGTTCACCACCCCAATGTAGCCTGTGAACAGTATCAAGGTCAGGGCAACCAGCCTCAAGGGGAAGAGAGGGGTGGGGAAGGGCTGGGGAGTGGTTGAGGGGCATGGCCTGCTTACCTCTGCGCAGGGGGAGCAGCTTGTTCTCCAGCACGTCACGGGCATCTGTGCCCTCGTCCATCAGGTCCAGCTTGGTGATGACCCCGATGGTGCGCTGGCCTGGGTGCACCAGCGGGAGGGCTGTCTACAGCTGCACCCACTCTCACACATGATTCCATGCACTCCCACTCCCGCCCCCCTGCCTACGCAGCCCCCTGCCCGCTCACTGCCTCCTCTCTTTCCCCCTCATTCATTTTCCACAGAGTAGCCAAAATGATTTTTATTTATTCTTCTTATTTTTTTTTATTTGTTAGAGATGGGATTTCACTTTGTTGCCAGGCTGGTTTCCAACTCCTGGCTTCAAGCGATCCTCCCAAGTTGGCCTCCCAAAGTGCTGGGATTTACAGGCATGAGCCACTGCACCTGGCCTTTTTTTCTTTTTGGAGACAGGGTCTCACTCTTGCCCATGCTGGACTGCAGTGGTGCGATTAGGGCTCATTGTAGCCTCAACCTCCTAGGCTCAAGTGATTCTCCAGCCTCAGCCTCATGAGTAGTTGGGACCACAATCGTGCACCACGGTGCCCGGCTAATTTTTAATTTTTTTGTAGAAATGGGGTCTCACTATGTTGCTCAGCCTTGTCTCGATCTCCTGGGCTCAAGCGATCCTCCCGCCTCGGCCTCCCAAAGTGCTGGGATTACAGGCATGGGCCACCATGCCTGACCTCAAAATTATTTTTAAAGGTACATATCTGATCCTACCACTATTCTTAGACCGTTCAGAGGCTCCCCTTTACACTAAGAATAGACAGCCCGCAAGCCTGGGACTTTGTGCATTGGCCACCGGGTGGGAACCTACCCTGGGGGTCCACCTCCTTGGCGACCTTGAGGGCGTCAGAATTGGCCAGGTCAGAGTTGGCAGGGGACACGGCCAGGATGAGGCAGTTCTCCTTGGTGACAAACTGCATCAGCATGTCCCGGATCTGGAACTCGATGTCGGGAGGTTGGTCCCCCACCGGGACCTTGGTCATTCCGGGCAGGTCCACCAGGGTCAGGTTCAGCACTGGACAGAGCGGCGAGAGGGTGGGCTCAAGGCGAGGGGCGTGGCCGCGGGCGAGGTTAAGGAATAGGGCGGGGCTTAGAGGAGCTGCTTGGGAGCAGGGTGGCAGGTGGGCGGGACTAGGAAATCTCAGGGCGAAAGTGGCTGCATGTTGGAGGCGTGGCCGGAAGTGAGCGGAATCCACGGCTGGGTGGAGCTTGGAATAGGATGATGCGGAGGCAGGGTCGCTCTAGGGGCGGAGTCTGCAGGAGGAGAGAAGCACGCAGAGGGGCGTGGCCAAGAAAATGATTCTTAGAGGTTGGGGCGGGGCCAGGGTCCTCACCATGCGGCGAGTAGACGCGGAGGTTGATAGGCACCGGCGAGATGCCCTTGTTGGTGCCGGTGACCCGGTCGGTCTCGGCCTCGATCTCAAGGCGCACCTCCTCGAAGTCGGTGAATTTCTTTCCCTTGCAGTGCAGGAACTCGGCATATTCTGCCCCAGAAGCGGGCAGGGGAAGGGCAGTAGGCATCAAGTTCTGGAACCCCACCTGGGGGTTTTCATCTCCCACCGGTAATAGGACTCCCTAGACACACCTAAGCAGAACCACCACCCACGTCTCCATTACGTATTTTGATCCCTGCTATCCCTAAGGGGGACGAGGCCCACAGTCACGCAGCAACCAAGTTTCGTGGCCAGGCTGGCCCTCAGCTTGGGGACGGAGGAGAGGCTGGAGTGGGCAGGCCTGGCTGCTGGTGAAGGAGGGCACGTACCTGTGGTTGCATTGACCAGCTGCAAGACCAGGGGACGTCGGGTGACAATGCCAGATCCTCGAGGCAGGAAGTCCCTGCAATGAGTTGGAGGTCAAAGGAGGGTCAAGATATGAGGGTGCGCCCTCTGTTCCAGGGGTACCTGTCCTGCCCCTGGGAGAGCCAAAGCTCCCTCCAAAGTGCTGGCCCCACCACTCCTTAGCCCAAGGGCTTCAGGTAACTAAGGGGATATGGCAGCCCAGAAAGGTGGAAAATACTTTTCCTTAAGTCGCCGGGGTCACAGAATTTATGTATCTGAGCTGCCAAGAGACTGGATCAACTCCTAGATACGTCCTGTGTTGGTTTTGAACCAACAGGAAGTCCCTGCCCCAACCCTGTCACTGCCATTCAGCCCCAGAGAAACTGAGGCATGGGGTTTCCCACACGCCTATGCATCCAGTGCCCACAGAGTGGGTCCCAGGAAACGGAGCTGTAACTTCTCCCCTCCCTTCCGCTGTGGGGCAGGGCAGCATCTCACTTCCCCTTCTCCAGGCCCCATATGGCTAGGGTTGAAGAAGAGTGGGGAAGGAGATGGCAAGGAAAAGGACTCATGGGCTGGGTGCAGTGGCTCATGCCTGTAATTCCAGCACTTTGGGAGGCTGAGGTGGGCGGATCACCTGAGGTCAGGAGTTCGAGACCAGCCTGGCCAACATGGTGAAACCCTGTCTCGACTAAAAGTACAAAAAAAATTAGCCGGCAGGGTGTTAGGTGCCTGTAATCCCAGCTTCTTGGGAGGCTGAGGCAGGAGAATTGTTTGAACCCAGGAGGCGGAGGTTATGGTGAGCCAAGATTGCGCCATTGTACTCAGCCTAGGTGACAAGAGCAAAATTCCATCTCAAAAAAACAAAAAAACAAAAAACTCGGGCTTCTTGGTGCCTACTGCATGCCAGGCGCTGAGTGGGGCTCCATACGGTAGCCCCATGAGGCAGGTGCTGTTATTACCCCCATTTTGCAGATGAGGGAGCTGCAGCTTAGAGACATTCAGGTTGCACAGCCAGTATCTGGCAGAGCAGACCCTGGTCTCAGATGTATTTACTCTGCAGTGAGACTCCCCTGCGCTTCAGCCCCCTGTGAATCCAGCCGCCTTTGAAGGACTGGACCGAGGGGTCCCAAAGTCATCCACTGTCCCCAGACCTGACAGTCTATAGCTCAGACATCTGCTCATGCCAATGTCAACCTCAGCTGTTCTTTTGGCTGACTCTTGTGGGTGCCAGTTCTCTGTCCAGTCAGCTCTTTTCATCTACCTCCCTCTGCACCGCCCTCCAGGGTGGTGCAAGCATGAGAGTGAAGGCCTCTCCAGGAACCAGGATGTCAGAATTGCCAGTCATGGGATCCCCAGGGCCCAAGAAAGCGGGGAGCAGGCTGAAGCCCAAGGGACCATTGAGACCCAGCCAGCGCCTTATTCATGGAGAGGCCCAGGGAGGGAAAAAGACACACTCAGGCTCTACAAAGCCAGAAGCGGAACCCAGGTCTCTTGCCCCCAGCCCAGAGCCTGACCCAGACTCACAAGTCTTCTTGCACCCCAGGGTCAGGAGCAAAGGGTGTTAGGTACAACAGACTAGATCCAGAGCTCCTAGGTTCAAAGCCCCTTCTTGAAGCCTCTCCACTGCCTCATATCTGGGGAAGCCGAGGCTGCTGGGGAGGAGTCAGGAATTACACTGGAGAAGGAGGATGGTAAGCCCTATGTATATTCATCATTTCTACACACCAGGCAAATGCTTTTCATTCTTGCCAGTGAGCTTTAGGCAGGCAGGGCAGCCTCTTTCTGTCTGCCACTGTATCCCAGTGCCCAGGACAGGGCTTAGCACACAAGGGGCACTCAATAAATTCTGATTGAATCCCCAAGTCCTCGAATCTGTGCTCTGATATAGAGATTATCATTTTATAGAGGAAGCGGCTGAGGCTCAGCGAGGTGAAGTGACTCACCCGAGGTCACACAGCCAAGCGGGGATTCAAAGCCGAGTGTCTGTTGGTCCCTCAGCCTGGGAACTTCCTCATTCAATGGTGCTGCCTCAAACCCAAGAAGCCAGACTTGGCTTTTTATGTAATTCAATTAAATTCAGTCTGTGCCGGGCCCTGTGCCGGGCTCTGGGGATGGGAGATGATGAGTCAGACAGTTCCCACCCTGAGGAACTCACAGTGTGGTGGGAGAGACAGACAAGTAAACAGATAATGCAATGCAGTGTGGTATGTGCTAGAACAGAGGTGTGCCAGGCGGCACAGAGGGAGGGGGTTTGCTGAGGGGTAGGAGGACTTCCGGTCTCAATCTCTTCCATCCTTTACTCAAAGACTCCTTTGGGGGCGTGACTTCCAGTTTTGGGAGTCCCCCAGGGCTGTGGAGATAGAACAGCTGTTCTCATAGAAGCTGGGGTGGGTGGGGGGGCTGGGGGTCCACCCTATTCTCCACCAGCTCCTCACCAGCAACACCATGGTAACAGTAGTTGCCATGGAAACCACGGGAGGGGCTGGAAAGGATGGGACTCCCCACAGAGAGTCCCCCACGCAGAGACATGGACTTTCCCTGGAGTTCTTCCCCGAGAGGCCTCTCCTTGAGCACATGGGCCCACTCAGTCCTGGTGAGCCTGAGGGGTGGAGGTCTCCAAGGTGCCCCATAGGGGGTGCGAGGAGCCCAGGACCCAGCTGGCGAGAATGCTACGTGGTCAGGGTCTGGGCCAGCTGCCCACTGCCTCCCAAGGGCTGCTTAAAGGACAAGTAGCTTCTGGGAAGCAGAAACTAGAGGCAGGGCCATGTCTGGGGGTCAACCCCTCCCAGGGACAAGATCTCCTGGTGCCCAGATGGGGAGGTGGCCCATCTCTGTCATGGCCCAGGTTCTCAAAGTGAGGCCCTCATGCAGCCTGCCTCAGAATGCCTTGGGTAGTTTGTCCAGATGCATGCTCCTTAGGCATGCTGGGCTAGAATCTCAAGAGGGCTTCACCGGGAGGCAGAGTCTGGATTTTAAACAGATCCTCCGGTGGTTTCCACACTCCCTGTCAACTTTAAGGACCACCTGCCCTGTGCTGAGGAGCCAGGGCCAGGCTGGCTCCTACATCAGATCCTACATTGGCCTTTCCCTGGCCTGGTGCCTGGTGCCAGGACCCGGGAGGTCTGCTTCCCAGTCTCACGCCTAGATGCACAGTGGGGAGGACCAGCAGGTCCCCAGGTCCGGACAATGAGCTCCTCACTCACTTCCGGGTTCCTGACTGGCACAGGCCCTGCACGTAGTAGGTGCCCAGGCAACACGGGAAGGAATGTGCATGACTCAGCAGCTCCCTAGCTCTTCCCTTTCACCTGGACACACTGTCCCACTTTTGCGCTCTAAGGGCCCCCTGGGGTGGTCCTCCTTCCCCCGAGTGGGGATCCAGACCAGATCCAGCCTCCAGCTCCTGGTTAGGCTGAGGGAGGACAGAACAGGTGCCCAGAGAAAAGTGTCAGGCCCACCAGCCTCGGAGGCTGTGTGCTGTGCCCGGCGTGGGAGGGGCGGCTGCTGGCATGCCAGTTCTCCCCACTCATTTGGAGCAGATGGTGGGTTCCCAGGGAGGCTGTGCCTGGCCATCTGCAGAGGCACCTTCAAACGTGAAGCATAGGGGGACAAAATAAACACCTCTCAGGACCCCCAAATGCCACACTCCCTATCTGAACTGGTGCTGTCACCCTGAGAGGGGTCTGGAGAAACTGAACCCAAGGGCTGACGTGACCCCTACCCCTACCCCTACTCTAGGACCCGAGACTTGGGGCCAGAGCTCCGGGATCCTGGTTCCCAGGCCCTGCTGAATGCAAATGATGCCAGGAAGTAACACGCTTAACTGGGCATGCACCCACTGCCAGTCATTCCTCTATGCCTCCTCCTTCTTGGGCTCTGATATCAGATGAATCCTGCATTGAATGTCCAAGCTGTCATATAGGAGCTGTGTGGCTGTGGACAAATGACCATACCTCTCTGAGCCTCAGTTTCCACATCAGTAAAATGGGTTGCTGTGAGGCTTATACAAGCTGATGATTGAACCAATGGCGGCTACTATGCTTATAAATAATGATAGTTTGCTGGGCATGCTGAGAGCACAGGCTAGACTCCCACAGCCTCGTCACCAGAAGAGGCAGCAGGGAGAGAGCTGGAGGTGGAAGGCGAGGGGGGTGGGCAGGGGCACCCTCTGAAGCAGGGAGCTGGGGTGCCGGCAAGGGAGTGGGTGGGCCAAGAAATACAGCTGGGAGGAGGTGAGACTGCCCCCAGGCAACAAGTCCCTCTCTGTTCCAGCTGCCCCAGGGGACCCTAGGCAGCCCCACGTCACAGCTCATGAATTTCAAGCTGAGGTTTGAACACTGCAGGGCAGTTCTGGCCTTGGCTTTCCTTGATGTTCTGATGGCCCCGCGAGCAGGGACTAGGCTAGACCTGTTTGTCACAATATCCCAGCACCCAGCACTGAATCTGGCACGTAGCAGACTCTCAGGACACCCACATTGACCAAAAGAGTGAATGCAAGATGAGCTCTACCATCGGCTTCATTGTGTAGGGGTAGAAACTGAGGCACAAAAGGGAAGAGTCTTGCCCAAGATCATGGTGCAAGTTGGTGACAAGGCAGGACTGGTACCCAGGGTTCCTGACTCCGGGTAGGTGCTCTCTCCACAGCAATCTTTCTCCCTATTAAGCCGAGCCTATTACCTTCCCTTACTCCTTATCCTCCCATCCTTCCTACTTTCTTTCCCACCCTCCCTCCCTTCCATCCATCCAAGTGTGGATGACTTTATATTTTCAAAATAGAAATCGATCGCTTTTGCCTCTAATTTTAAAAATCATATGTTCTCCATTTTAAAAGATTCAGAAAATGACCAGGCGCGGTGGTTCATTCCTGTAATCCCAACACTTTAGGAGGCTGAGGCAGGCAGATCGCTTGAGGTCAGGAGTTTGAGACCAGCCTGGCCAACATGGTGAAACCCCATCTCAACTAAAAATACAAAAATTAGCAGGGTGTGATGGCACGTGCCTGTAGTCCCAGCTACTTGGGAGACTGAGGCAGGAGAATCGCTTGAACCCGGGAAGCGG